CCGTTCCTGGGTTGAGAGTGCACAGGGGAGGCCCCAGAAGGCAAGGATGTGTTTTGTTTTTAATAATAGCCAATGGGTGCAAAATGACTCGTTGGGAAAACTGTTACTGCAGAAGCAACGAGAAGCAGAAAGAGAACAAACAGCTCTTCATGGACAGTCTTGCAGAGAACATTCATTCCTCCCCCTCCTCATCATCCCTACGGGGGAGGAGCAAGAGCCAAGCAGAGCAGAAGGGAATAGCATTGCCACCCGTTCCACTGAACGCTGTTGTAGCCACGAGCCCACCTGCGCCAGGATGGGAAGAGCTATGAGTATGAAATGAAAGATGTAAACTGGGCAGAGGGGCAAGCCTAAGTCATCACACTTGGAATGAGACTGTAGTCGCTACTGAAAGTGACTGCCCAGTTATGGGACCAGGGTCAGGTATTTCTAAGGGAATCAGCTGTCCAGGGAGCAAGACGGTTTACTAGAGACAGTGGGGATGGTTAGTGGAGAAAAAATGGAATTGTTTTATATATCTACAGTAATAAAAGAGAAAGATGCAAATTGGCCATACCTCTGTGATGCCCACCAGCCAATCAGGAGTGAGCATGCAAATTAACCCAACAAAGGTGGCAGGTTGACTTGCATACGCAGGTGCTGAGCGAAGACTGAAGACTGAAGAGTGAAGACTGAAGAGGCTTGGTTTCTTCACTGCAGCCGGAGCAGAGAAGCCTCAAGACTTGGCTTCTCTACTGCAGCCGGAGCAAAGGCCTGGGTCCCGGGTGCCGGAGGAAAACCGGTGCAGGCAGTCAGGGGAAGGAAGGCCTATTGCATGAATCTTCATGCAATGGGCCTCTAGTATATATATAAAAGTCTAAGCGGATGACTGGCCAGTAGCTATAATGTGCACTGACCACCAGGGGGCAGACGTTTAATGCAGGAGCTGCCCCCTGGTGGTCAGTGCGCTCCCATTCCAACCTCCTGCTGTCCCTCCCCCCTAACCTCCCAGCTCCCAGCCAGCCATATTTAGTTAAGACGTCTAAAACTGGTTATATACGTATCATCATTTATAAGTATTTACTAGTTTATTGTTTGTCTTCCTCATAAACTATCAGCACCATGGACCAGAGACCATGTCTATCTAGTTCACTATTGTGTCCCTTAACCTGTTAACCGAGCGGGACCTATAAATACGTCAAACAAAAACACTATCGGGAACGGGTAGGACGTATGAATACGTCCTTGAAATATATGTTGCGCCCTGAGAGGGACGGAATATATTTTTTGTAATCTTTATAATTGTTTGTAAAATTTATAATTTTTAATTCGATGTTTCCATTTTTTTGTTGGTATTCTTTTCTATTTGTTTGTAATTTTGTATTTTCCTTTGTGCTTTATATATAAATAAACGAAAAATATATATTTCATTTATTTTAATTAAGTATAAATAAATAAAATAATAATATAAAATTATGTCCTCTGTGCATGACGTACTGACATGTCCTAGTGAAAGAGTATGCGCCCGCTGTACGTTGTGTAATTAAAAAGGGAACTCCCCGGTTAACAGGTTAAGAGTGATATATGCTCAACCAAGATTTGTTGAAAGAATATTTCTTACCTTTTAAAGATACAATCTAAAATATCTATAGAATAGGTCGGGAGCGGCAGTGACCAGACACGGAGCAGCTGGTTGTGGAATGAACCAGAGCAACAGAGGCCAGGCCCGGAGCAGCCTGGCCCAAAACAGCTCGCTCCTCACCTGCCCCTGCCCCACAGCTGCCTCTCAGACATGGCTGGAAACTTTTGCGGGAACTTGAGGGTCTGCTGAATCAAGTGATGAAGGCTTATATCTGGATGTGTTGAGTTAGTTTAGTGCTGGGGTGTTGATCTGTGAGTGCCTTGGGTGGGGCCTGGATGAGGCTGGTTGTCCTATTAGGAAATGTCTTTTGTGTGAAGTGTATCATTGGGCATGTGGAGGTATTATTGATATGAGAAAATGCTAAGTAACAGATTTGCTATCTGAAAAGGGATTTACTATCGGGGAAAGGGAGGGAGGAAGAGACTGAACATAAACTGTGCACCAATGGATGAGGATGAGGGGGCAGAGGGTGGGGTGGGAACCTGGTGGAGGGGGGAAGAAACGATGAACCTGTGTAATAATATGAACAATAAAGAATGATTTAAAAAAATAAATAAATAAAAATAAAATAAAATATCTATAGAATAAACAATCTGATGTCTAGAGTTTACTTTAAAATAAACAATGCGATGTCTAGGGAGGCAGGGTTGAAAGAGAGGGTGGGAATATAAGTACAACAGATTGATGTTCTTGAAGCTGGAGGTAGGGCAAACATGATTCATTATAATCTTCTCTATACTTTTTTTTAACTTTTAAAAATTCTGGTAAGGTCATAATTAACAACCTTAATTTAAAAATTGTTTTCAACATAATATGAAAACATTCAAATATACATAAAAGTTAAAAGTGAACCCTCATATAACTACCATGAAGATCTGATGATGCTAACGTTTTGTTGTATTTGTTTTATCTATATCTATCCATCTACACGTCTGTCCCTCTTATTTTTTGTGCATTTCAAAGTAACTTGCAGACATCAGTACATTTCACCCTTTCACACTTCAGCATGCATATCATAAGAGTTCACAATTTTTTCCATTCTTTTTTTGTAAATATGTCTTATTGATTTTTTTACAGAGAGGAAGAGAGAGGGATAGAGAGTTAGAAACATTGATGAGAGAGAATCATCCATCAGCTGCCTCTTGCACACCCCCTACTGGGGTTGTGCCAGCAACCAAGGTACAAGCCCTTGACCAGAATCGAACCTGAGACCTTTCAATCCACAGGCTGATGCTCTATCCACTGAGCCAAACCAGTTTTGGCTTTTCCATTCTTTAAGGTAAAATTTACTTAGCATGAAGTTGTACATTCACTGCATATAAAAACATTTATTTATGTAATCTACAAAAATACATATATAGTCCTAGCCAGTTAATATACATAGAGTGGGTCGACACTCTATCCACTAAGGATTGAGGGTTAGATTCTGGTCAAGGGCACGTTCATGGGCTGCCGACTCTCCTCAGCCCTGCTCAGAGCTGAAGTGGGAGGCAACCAATCAATGTGTCTTTCTCATATCGATGTTTCCCTCTCTCTGACTCTCCCCCTCCCTTCCACTCTCTTTAAAAATCAACAGAAAGCCGAAACCGGTTTGGCTCAGTGGGTAGAGCATCGGCCTGGGGACTGAAGGGTCCCGGGTTCGATTCCGGTCAAGGGCATGTACATTGGTTGCAGGCACATCCCCGGTAAGGTGTGTACAGGGATGCAGCTGATCGATGTTTCTCTGTCATCGATGTTTCTAGCTCTCTATCCCTCTCCCTTCCTCTCTGTAAAAAATTCAATAAAATACATTTTAAAAAATCAACAATAAAAATACACTTATATTTAGAAATTTATAGTGTTATGTGTCCTCCCAAAATTCGTATGTTGAATCTCTGACTCCCAAGATGTTGATATTTGGAGATGGTGTCTTTGAAAGACAATTATGGTTAGACTAGAGGCCCAGTGCATGAAATTTATGCACATTAAAAGGGAATTAGAGGAAATATTTTAATATTGCTATTTGCCCTTTCTTTATAATAAAAGTGTCAGAGATTAAAGAAAATTAATAAAATCTATATGAAAACCTTCCTCCTGTCAGAGTCTGGAGCACACCACGGACCCAGAGCCAAGTCCCCACCCACCTGTGCACACCTCAAAATTGTGTGAGACCCAGACCCTGCTGGCCCACCCCCGTCAAACCCGGACGGGTGGGGGGTGCAGCCTCAGGAACCCTAGTTAAGCTCTGCTGGGCAGGGGGCACAGCCTCAAGTCCCCCAGCCCATGCGGGGGGCGGGGGGTTGGGGAGAGGCACAGCCTCAGGTCCCTGCCCCAGCCAGGTGCCACGCAGCCTTAGGTCCCTGCTGATTGCTCATTACAGGAACCCCACCTCTGCTGTGGGCACAGCCATCTTGCAATGGCATGAGGGTTAATTTGCATATTACCTCTTTATTATATAGTATATTTTCATTGATTTTAGAGAGGAAAGGAGATAGAGGAAAAAAACATCAATGTTGAGAAAGAATCATTGATCAGCTGCCTCCTGCAGGCCCCACACTGGGGATGGAGCTCACAACCGCCAGCACGTGACCTGACCAGGAATCAAACCCTGACCTCCTGGTTCATAGGTCCACGCTCAACCACTGAGCCACGCCGGCCGGGCTAAGTCTCACAGTTTATATCTCTGAATTACAGGGGATGTTGGTGAAACTGCAAGCTGGTACAATTTAGAAGAGTAATTTGGGATCCCCCTTTATTGAAACAACTAGGGAAACGGCACCTTTGACCCAGTAATTAACTTCTAAGAATTCCTCTTACAGATGTACTAGTACTTGCACCTGTGCAAAGTGGGGCCTCTTTTCCCCCTAATCAGTCCCCCCCACCCCACTCAGCCCAACGCCAGGTCCCCGCCCTGGAGGGACCCCTGCCCTGGAGGGACCCTGGGGCTCAGGCACAGGCCCCGTTCACACCTCACTTCACACTGGAGTCCTTTAGCAGCAGCTGCGGAAGCCCTGGCAGCCGCAGCCTCCGACGCCCGCCCTCCTGCACGGCTCAGACCTCACCACCTGCTCAGAGGGCTGCAACGTGACTTTTCTTCCTTGTTCCTTATCTCCGGACTGGGAGGACGGGCGCAGCCGCCGCCACCGCCACCACCACCACCACCACCACCACCATCACCGAGCACAGAGACCTGGGCCTTGACCCTGCCTGGGGCTGCCCCCTGCTCGCCGCCAGCGGCCTGGGGCACTGGGCCCAGGAGGGGCGGGGCCGGGGCGGGCTACGCGGCGAGGGGCGTGGTTAGGGGCGGGCTATGCGGTGAGGGGCGGAGCCAGAGGCGGGCTACGCGGCGAGGGGCGTGGTTAGGGGCGGGAGGGGCGGGTCCTGGCGGAAGGGGCGGGGCCTCGGTGATGGCCTGGCTCGTCGCCGCCTCGGCCGCCGTCTCCTCAGCAGCAGCAGGAACCCCAGTCCCCGCCGCCGCCGCCTGGGTCCCCGCCGCCCGCGCGCCGGCCGGCCCGGGCCCGCAGCCATGGAGGACTTCATCGTGATCTCGGACGACAGCGGCTCCGAGAGCTCGGAGGGCGCCCGCTCGGGCCGGGCGCGGAGGCTGCGCCGGGCCCTGTCCCGGACCCCGGGCGCCCTGCCCCGCCGGACCGTGGTGAGTGAGCGCGCCCGCGGCCGCAGCGCCGCCTCCGCTCCGCTCCGACCGTCCGCCCGCCCCGCGCCCCCGCCGCCCGCCGCCGCCGGGTGGCGCCGCGCGGCTGCAGGGCTTCCCGGCTTCCCGCCTCGCCGCCTCCCGGCCGCGGAGCGCGACGGGCCGCACGGGGGCGGCCTGGCCTCCCGGCGCCGAGTTCAAGCCCGAGCGGCGGGCTGCGAGGGGCGGCCGAGCACATGGGCGACGGCCGCGGCCGCGGCGCTCAGGCCGGGCCCGGGCTTCCCCAGCCTCGGCGGGGCGGGGCGGGGCGGGGGTTCGGGTCCCCGGGACGGGGCTCCGGGGTGGCTGCGGGCGGGGGAGGTGCCGCTGTGCGGGAGGTAACGGGAGCCGGGCGGGCGGGCGGCGGGGGCTGCGGGCCTGGCAGATGGTGGCGCCGCTCCAGGCCTGGCAGCCGCGGAGGGGCCCGGGTGGAGCCCTGCAGGCGGGGGACCTACCCGCTGAGCGAGGCCCCCCCCCCCGCCCCAAGTCCCCGGAGAACCGGGGGGGGGGGGCATCTTGCACTGGTTCTCTCCCCCCAACACTCGGCCTCAGTCTTTGTCCTTCTTCCCGAGATGGAGAATCAAACAGCTACGGTCCCTGCTTTTCTAGAACCCTCCACAGATATTGGTTGGACCCCCACTGCTAGGGGCCGGGCGTGGGGCGTGGGCGCCGTGGCCCCTCTCGCAGGAGGGGGTGCGTTCATTCAACAGGTGGCAGGGAGCGCTCCGGGGTGGGCGGACAGGCTGTCACCCCCAGGTCCTCCCAGCCCCAGAGCCACACGCCCCGCAGGAAACGAAGACTTTCCAGGTCTCCCGTGGACAGTGGAAGGAAACCACCTTTCTTCATGTGCAAATGCCCCTTCCAGGCAAATGCAGCCCCTTCCTTCCTTCCCCTTCCGGCCAGCTCGGCCCCGCCTCCACCTGAGCCGGTGCCGGCACCGGGAACGGATGGCTGCAGGCCGGATGGACACCCCGCGCTCTGTGGCTCTGGGCCCGGCTGGAGGGTTCTCCGTGCCTCTCAGGAGAGACTTGAGATGAGATGGGCATAGAGAGGTTTTCAAGGGAGACGTGGTCCAGCTTGGTAGGCGGGTGGATGTACCTAGCGCCAGGCAGTGAGGGGGCCACAATAAGTATTTTTGGGGTGAAATAATGATTGAAGGAAAGGGAGCGCGAGTTCAAGAGTGGGAGCAGGCTTGGTGTGGACCTTCAGGATGCCAAGTGCCCACGGGAAATGTACGTGGAGGTGGCCGCCCTGAGGGATGGATGGTCCGGAGAGCAGGCGGGAGGGAGGGTTTGTAGGCATCGCTATAGACAGCACCAGAGGCCTAAGAGTGACAGAGGGAAAGGTGGAAGGAAAAAAACACCGCAGAATAACTCAGCCACCTCTCCTCCTGGCTCTTCCTCTTTCCTCTGCCCCTTCTCTCTGTCCCCTTGAACTTGGTTCTTCCTACCCGCTTCCTTTCATCCCAGGGGCTAGCCCTCTCCCTCCTCCTAGCCCAGCTTCCTTCTGCAAGCACTCAGATGGCGTCTTAGCCCAGTCCGTTGTGTCTCTTGTGACCACACACACACACACACACACACTCACTCACTCACTCTAACTGCTCCCCATCCCGTGACCACCCACCCAGGCATTTTGCTCTGGAGCCTTCTGAGTTGAAGAGGTCAAGTTCCAGAGAGTTTTACTTCTGGAACTTCTCTAGATACTTTTTACTTCAGCTTTCTAAAAACCCCAGGCTTTTCTCCTTTTCTCTCTCCTGCCAACTAGATAAGGACCGTAAGAGACCAGAGGCTTTGGGAGACTTGCAAGGTTTTAAAGCCTCTTCCCGAAGGCCCTGAGGGCAGAGACCTGTGAGCTTGGGCCGGTTCTTCCACCTCTCCACCTCCTGCAGCTTTTGCTTTTGGGAACATTAATACCTACCTGGTAGAACCCTTAGAACTGTGGTCGGCAAACTGCGGCTCGCGAGCCACATGCGGCTCTTTGGCCCCTTGAGTGTGACTCTTCCACAAAACACCACGGCCTGGGCGAGTCTGTTTTGGAGAAGTGGCGTTAGAAGAAGTTTAAGTTTAAAAAATGTGGCTCTCCAAAGACATTTCAGTTGTTGTCCTGTTGATATTTGGCTCTGCGGACTGATGAGTTTGCCGACCACTGCCTTAGGAGATTTGTAATGAGGCCACGCAAGGCAAATGCCCAGCATCCGTGAGAACTTTTGTTACACTCTGTGCTGTTTCTCAGCCAGTCCCGACCTTCTCACACTTGGCAGGAATGAAATGAAAGGATCGAGTTTTACGGTTGTTTTCTTTTTTACAGTATTGACTGAGGGGAAGCAACCTGCTTGAATCCAGGAAGTGAGAAAGCTGTCTCCAATACTGTCGTTAATATTTTTTTAAAATATATTTTATTGATTTTTCACAGAGAGGAAGGGAGAGGGATAGAGAGTTAGAAACATCGATGAGAGAGAAACATCGATCAGCTGCCTCCTGCACACCCCCTACCTGGGATGTGCCCGCACCCAAGGTACATGCCCTTGACCAGAATCGAACCCGGGACCTTTCAGTTCGCAGGCTGACGCTCTATCCACTGAGCCAAACCGGTTTCGGCTGTAGTTAATATTTTGAACTCCTGGTCTTCACCTGGGCTGTGGTGCTTCCCTAAGTTGATGAAGTGTGTTTGTGTTTTTAATAAGCTTAGTTGTGTTTTCTTTCCCACGCAGAACACGTACAGATAGTAGGTTGACCTATTACAAAAATATTTAGAAATGTACATAAAGAAGAAAATTTATATTGCCCTTAATCTCACTATCCCCAGGTAATGAACATAAACATTTTTTTTAATGTTAACATTTTGATGTCTGTCTGTCCGAACTTGGATCTGTAAATGTGCATGTATACTTGTACAAAACGTGTATCCCCCGATACATGTTTATGCAAAAATGAAGTCTTGCTATAGATGTGTGTGTGTTTTTTGTAGCCTGCCTTTTTCTATTAATGTATTTTTATCTCTTTCCACATCAATAAATACATGTCTTTACCAATATTTTTAATGTATTTTATTGTGCAGATTTATAATTATATTTATAATCTATTCATGGTATCATGCTGGTTGTTTCTAAATGTTCTCTATTATAAACATCCCAGCGAGGAATTCCCTCATAAATAATCATTTCTTTGTGCAGGAGAAGAGCCTCTTGGATGTGAGATTGCTGAGTCAAAAAGGCATGTCCTCCTTTGAGGGCTCTTGACATGTATTGTCTACAGAATTTCCTACAGAAATTATAGTCTCAGCGTACTCCTTCCTTCATTGCCCCTAGATATTGTCATTTTATTCAGTAAATGTTTATTGAATGCCCAGCTCTTACTAGTATACGTGCTGAGGATACAGCCATGAACAAACCAAGTTCCTGCCTTCATGAGCTGTCATTCTAGTCAGTGAGAGACCACCAGGTAGCAACCACATACATGTAGCATCGGGTTATATACAGAGCGCTAGGAAGAAAAAAGGCCTTTTCCTCTTTGCTGATTTGATAGCCAGATTCTGTGAGCTGTCATGGTTCTAATTTTTTCCTTTGGTTGTGATTCAGTCTTTCAATAAATATGTTCTCAAGGGGAAAGACAAGCAATACACAAATAAATGAACAATATAGTAGTAACTTGGGTGGGATGGATACAATTTTCAAAGAATGCCTCTCTGAAGAGTTAACAATTTTTAAAAAAAAATATATTTTATTGATTTTTTTACAGAGAGGAAGGGAGAGATATAGAGAGCTAGAAACATCAATGAGAGGGAAACATCGACCAGCTGCCTCTTGCACACCTCCTACTGGGGATGTGCCCGCAACCAAGGTACATGCCCTTGACCGGAATCGAACCTGGGACCTTTCAGTCCGCAGACCGACGCTCTACCACTGAGCCAAACCGGTTTCGGCTGAAGAGTTAACAATTGATCGAAGACCATGGTGACAGAAGAGATTTGTTATGGGAAGGTCTAGGGCCGTGGTTGGCAAACTGCGACTCGTGAGTCACATGCGGCTCTTTGGCCCCTTGAGTGTGGCTCTTCCACAAAATACCACGGCCTGGGAGAGTCTATGTTGAAGAAGTGGCATTAGAAGTTTAGGAGCAAAGGGTGCACCAAAAATCAAGACTTGGAGCCTGGCTAGTGTGGCTCAGTGGTTGAATGTTTGACCTACTGTTTTGAAGGTGTCAAGACACCTGTGGGTTAGCCAACTGGAGATGCCAAGTATGATGTTTGCACTCAGTTTATAGGCCAGGGAGGAAGTCCTCACTAGAAACACAGATTTGTTGTCATTAGCACATCACGTAGATTGTAGTGATTTGGATGTGATCATGGAGGCTGAGAAGCCACAAGAAGAACATCCAGGGCCGGGGCCTAGGCCCACAGTGCCTAGCCCTGGTGAAGGCAAGGGGTGAAAGAGCAGCTAGTGAGGCTAGAGGTCAGAGAGTATGCTCAAGCAGGTTCCTTTTCCTGGCCGGTTGGGGTGTAAATATTAGGTACATATTAGATTCATTATAGGTTGAATTGGGTCCTCCAAAAAGATATGTTGAAGTCCTAACTTCTCACTACAGAATGTGGCCTTATTTGGAAATAGGGACTTTACAGATGTAACCAGTGAAGATAAAGTCATATGGAGTAGAGTGAGCCCCTCGTCCAATATGACTGGTGCCCTTTTAGGATAGAGTGAAGTAAGAGGAAGAACACCATGTGATGATGGAAGCAAAGATGGGAGTTACACAGTAGCTGCAAATTAAGGATTGCTGACAACACCAGCAATGTGTGATGGGACAGCCAAAGGATAAACACAGAATCTATCCCAGGCTAACTTTTTTTTTTTTTTTTTAAGATCAGGTGGGCATCCCAGAAAGCCTGGGTGCATGCCCAGAGTGGGTCTCTGGGACGACTTCTCCAAGCCAAATATGAGGACGCCAGTGCCCACCCAGGGCGATGGAACACTTGGTGAATTTTCATGTCATCCTTGCACAGGAACCAAGCTAATCTCTATACCCTTCCAATTTTAGTACATGTGCTGCCAATGTGAGCACCAGGCTAATTTTTTTATAAAGATTTTTTGGAACTAAAATATGGATATGTCATAGAGTAGGAAGCAAAATTCACCTACATTTTGAATTTAAAACAATAGATGTCAAAATAATTTGGATCTAAAAATCAAGGTTAGCTTCCCTTAAGGCTGGAAATAACTTCTTCATCTTCTATTAACAGCTTAATAGTTTTATTAAGATACTAGTGGCCTGGTACACAGATTCATGCACATTGAAAGGAAATTAATTAGAAGAAACATTTTATTATTGCTATTCGCCCTTTATAATAGAAGTGTCGACCAAATTCACGATTGACAATGACAGATTGAAACACTCATATAATGGGCGCTGGCAAGAGCTTTATATGCAGTGTGCATGTGTGAGTCACCTTAGCCTTTTATATATAGAGAATAAACTTGCTTAATTAGACCTGCTTTCTGATTTAGCTAAAGTTTTTTCAGCCCAGTGAAGCACCCCAACTTCTCTTTCAGGTAATTGTCACCAACACAGCAGTAAATATCAACATGAAACAGATTATTATTGTAGATCATGCAGGGAGAACAAAGGGTAAAATATTTAACTGCAGAAGTGTTTGACTATATTCTGTGCAGTGAGAAAACGAAGTCATTGTCAAGGTCCACCATTTCTTACTTAGTTTCAGTCAAGTCAAGTGTCTACACTTTCTAAATCTTCGTTTTCTGGCTAATGAAAAGAAAATAGGATTCTACTGAGTCTCCTATCTACCTACTCCAGGACTTCTGTGAGGATAAAATGGGATAAGGCATGAGAAAAACGCTTCACAGACATTTGGTTAAAAGTGTAAAATGTTTGCAACTGACTATAAAGCAAGTCATGTTCCTGGGCTGGAGAAATTGCAAGGAGGCTAGTCACTAGGGAAAGGAAGCCAGGTATTGCTACATGACATCATTACCTGGATGGACACTTAACATATTAGCCTTTTATATATATAGATAATTTCATACCAGACATAAAATTCCCTCAGTTGTACAACCACCACCATTATCTACTTTAATAAATTTTTCTTTACTCCAAAAGGAAGTCCTGTACCCTCCAAGGGCTTTCTGTTTTTATTTCTTTAAAGTACACAATTATATATTTTGAAAAATAAAATTACCCCATTTTAAATTAAAAATTATACACAGGAAAAATTTCAGGACATTAGTAAGAATTCTCCTCTGTTCATTCCTACTCTCTTGAGATAACTAACAGTTTTTGTGTATTATTCCAGAACTTTTTTGTGTATGTACATAAAAATATATAAATGTCTAATTTTTTCCCAATGGAATCATACTTTTTAAAAAACATTTAATAGGGAGAAACCAAGATGGTGGCATAGGTAAACACCTATACTGCTGCCTCGCACAATAATTTCAAAGCTGCAACTGGAAGACAGAGCAGACATTGTCCAGAAACACTGGAAAGCTGGCTGAGTAGAAACTACAACTAGAAGGAAAGAGAAAAGGACACTGATACTCAGGAGCTGTGGAGGACAGAGGTGCGGAGACCTGCGCGTGCAGAAATAGCTGCTGGCTGAATAATGCAGCTGGTTTACTCATCGTGCTTGGAGAGGGCGGGCAGCAAGCGCGACACTAGCTCTCTCATTCGGGAGAGAAACAGAACCTCCCGACTGCACAGAAATCCAGTTCCGAGTGAGGGTTTGGATACCTGGACTCATTCAGGGAGAAACTGGATTGTCTGGCAGCGGGCGAAACTCGAGAGCAACCTTCTCTCAGATGTGTGTGTAGCCATTGTCGCAGGACACTGAGACACAGAGGCCTTGTAGGGCAGGGCTGACGGGAAACTAAGGCTGTCTGCTCCACCCTGAGACTCCGCCCCATCCAAGGATGCCGAGCATAGTAGCTCTCCCAACGGAGACATAGCTGATACTCACAGCCAATTTGCCTTGTATAAATCAAAACACACTATATCACTCCCCCCAGTGATACTAACAACAATCTACGCTTAACTACAACAAGTCTGCACACACAGCCCACCAAGTGTGTCCACCTCAGGTTACTAGGGAGGCTGAGCCACTGGGCCCTGCTAGGACACCTAGCACACACAGCCACTCCATCAACTCAGGGAAGCAGCTAAAATGAGGAGACAAAGAGGAAGGCCACTAATGAAGGAAATGGAAGAAAGAAAAAGAATGGATATATATTTCAAAACCACGGTTATAAGGTTTTTCAAGAATTTCCTAAAAAAAAAAAAGACTGATAAATTTAATGAGACCTTCAAGTATATGAAAAAGGATCAACTAGAAATTAAGCATACAATGACTGAAATAAAAAATATTATACAGAGACCTAAAAGCAGACTAGAGGATCACAAGAATCAAGTCAAAGATTTGGAATACAGCCGAAGCCGGTTTGGCTCAATGGATAGAGTGTGGGCTTGGAGAACAAAGGTTCCCGGGTTCGATTCCGGTCAAGGGCATGTACCTTGGTTGCGGGCATTTCCCCAGTAGGGGGTGTGCAAGAGGCAGCTGATCGATGACTCTCTCTCATCGATGTTTCTATCTCTCTATCTCTCTCCCTTCCTCACTGTACAAAATCAATAAAATATATATTTATAAAATAAAATAAAATTTGGAATACAAAGAAGCAAAAAACACTACTCTGGAAAAGCAAAAAGAAGTAAGAATCCAAAAATTTGAAGACAGTGTAAGTAGTCTCTGGGACAACTTCAAGCTTATCAACATCAGAATTATGGGGGTCCCAGAAGAAGAGAGAGAGCAAGATACCGAAAATCTATTTGAAGAAATAATGACAGAAAACTTCCCCCACCTGGTGAAAGAAGTAGACTTACAAGTCAAGGAAGTGCACAGAACCCCAAACAAAAGGAATCTGAAGAGGACCACACCAAGACACATCATAATTAAATTGCCAAGACCAAAAGAGAATATTAAAAACAGCAAGAGAAAAACAGTTACCTACAAGGGAGCACCCTTATGATTGTCAGCTGATTTTTCAACAGAAACTACACAGGCCAGAAGGGAGTGGCAAGAAATATTCAAAGTGATAAATAGCAAGAACCTACAACCAAGTTTACTCAACCCAGCAAAGCTATCATTCAGAATTGAAGGTCAGATAAAGAGCTTCACAGACAAGAAAAAGCTAAAGGAGCTCATCACTGCCAAACCAGAATTATATGAAATGCTGAAAGTATTCTTTAAGAAGAGGAAGAAGAACAAAAAAGTAAAGATAAAAATTATGAACAACAAATACATATCTATCAACAAGTGAATCTAAAAATCAAGTGAATAAAAAATCTGATGAACAGAATAAACTGGTAAATATAATAGAATCAGGGGCATAGAAAGGGAGTGGACTCACAATTCTCGGGTGGAAAGGGTAGCGGGGTGCAGGGAAGAGACTGGACAAAAAGCATACACCAATGGATGAGGACAGTGGGGGGGAGGTAAGGACAGAGGGTGGGGTAGGAACATGGTGGAGGGGAGCTATGAGTAGAAAAAAGAGAAATAATTGTACTAACCTGAACAATAAATATTATTAAATTAAAAAAATAAAATAGCTGAAACCGGTTTGGTTCAGTGGATAGAGCGTCAGCCTTTGGACTGAAAGGTTCCAGGTTTGATTCCGGTCAAGGACATGTACCTTGGTTGTGGGCACATCCCCAGTGGGAGGTGTGCAGGAGGCAGCTGATTGATGTTTCTCTCTCATTGATGTTTCTAGCTCTCTGTCTCTCTCCCTTCCTCTCTATAAAAAATCAATAAAATATATTTTTTAAAAATAAAATAGCTAAAAAAATAAAAATAAAAAACATTTCATATATTTTTGTTATTTAAAAAACATTAGGCCTGCCAAAATCGGTTTGGCTCAGTGGATAGAGTGTCAGCCTGTGGACTGAAGGGTCCTGGGTTCGATTCCGGGCAAGGGCATGTTCCTTGGTTGTGGGCACATCCCCAGTAGGGGGTGTGCAGGAGGCAGCTGATTGATGTTTCTCTCTCATCGATGTTTCTAACTCTCTATCCCTTTCCATTCCTCTCTGTAAAAAATAAATAAAATATGTTAAAAATAATAATAATTAAAAAAAATTAGGCCTGGCCAGTGTGGTTCAATGGTTGAGTGTCAACCTTTGGGCCAGAAGGTCATAGTTCAATTCCTGGTCAGGGCTCATGCCCAAGTTGCGGGCTCAATTCCCAGTGTGGGACATGCAAGAGATCAGTGGTTCTCTCGTCATTGATGTTTCTGCCTCTCTCTCCCTTCCCTTGCTGAAGTTAATTAGAAAATAAATAATAGTAATTTATAAAAAATATTAGTATCATTCCTACTATTATCCATTTTGCTCACAATGGTATTCCCAGTGCATAACATGATGCCTGGCACAAATATTCATTCAATGCATATTTTATCAGCTGCATCTTATCTAACACTTAGAGGCCCAGTGAACTCCCTCACTGCCCCTGGTTCCTGCTGCCGCAGCCGCTGCCACCAGCCAGGGCCTCCCTCCCTTCCCCTGGCTTGTCCCACTCCCTGGTCAAACCACAATGGACTCCTGGTCAAGGCACAATTTGCATACTATGCTTTTATTATATAGGATTAACAAAAACTAATCAGTCTCTCATTGAATTTAATTTTTCTTTTGTGTTTCAGATTATGATGTGATAAACTCTTCATAAAAATATGTCTGTAAGATAGTTTCTTGCAGTGGAATTTTGGAATTAAAGTGTAATGTGTATTCATAATTTTAATATATCCCACTGTTATGGACATACTGTTAGTCTTTGTGGGATCCATTGGAATTTTGTTTAAATGTATAGGTTAATTAGAGAAGAAACAATAATTTTAAAATTTTAAATATTTTGTTTTAATAGTCCTATGAATAGACCATAGACCATCTGAATAGACCTATATCTATTAAAGAAATTTAATCGTAATTAAAAATCTTCAATATCAGAAAGCACCTGGCCCAGATGTATTCTACCAAACATTTTTTGTTTATTTTCTATTAATTTTTATTGATTTATCTCTATATATAAAAGATATATAAAAGCCTAAGTGACTGTTCAGCTGTTGGACCATTTGACTGATAGCTGTGACACGCACTGACCACCAAAGGGCAAACACTCAACATACAGGCATGGGGACAAGAACAGACTGAATCTTAGAGGGCAGGGGAGCAGGGGGTAGGGCGGGAAGAGATTAACCACAGATCATGTATGCATACTAGAAGCCCAAAATCGACAGTCTGACATCCCCTGAGGGGTCCCGGATTGAGAGAGGGCGGAGGCCAGGCCAAGGGATCCTGCCAGTGCACAAATCCATGCACCAGACCTCTAGTTTAAGATGATTATTACTGATTTCAGAGGAAGGGAGATGGAGAGAGATACAAACATCAATGATGATAGAGAACTGATCGGCTGCCTCCTGCATGTTCCACACTGGGACCAAGCATGTGCCTCTGACTAGAACTGAACCTGGGATCCTTCAGACTGATGTGCCATCCACTGAGCCAAACCAGCTAGAGCTCTATGGATTTTGAGAGAGAGTAGAAGAGAGGGGGAGAGACAGGGAAAGAGAAACATCATTTAAGAATTCTCTTTTTTTAAATATTGGGTCGGCAACTAAGTAATTGCGGATTTTAAAAATTTTTTTCATGGAACTAAACTTTATTCTGTAATGTATTGCCCATTTTGATCAATGACCTTTTGCCATCTTTCAGGCAGCATCATAATCCCACGTTCAAAAAACTTCTGGTTTTTATTAGCAAAAAACTGAATCAGGTACGATTTGACATCATCATCATTATTGAAATTTTTACCATTCAAGGAGTTTTGTAAAGATCGAAACAAAAAGTAATCAGATGGTGCAAGGTCAGGACTATATGGTGGATGTGGCAAAACATCCCAACCAAGCTCCATTAATTTTTGCCGAGTGACCAAAGATGTGTGTGGCCTTGCATTGTCATGATGGAATACAACACCTTTTCGATTTGTCAATTCGGGCCGCTTTTCTTCAACTGCATTGTTTAATTTCGTTAGTTGTTCAATGTAGGCATCAGAATTGATCGTTCGGTTGGGTGGTAAGAGTTCAAAGTAGACAATTCCTTTGTAATCCCACCAAACTGATAACAAAACCTTCTTTTGATGAATATCAGCTTTTGATGTTGTTTGAGTTGGTTCACCTGGCCTGCTCCATGATCTTTTCCGCTTGATATTGTTGTAAACAACCCATTTTTCATCGTCAGTTATCAGTCGTTTTAAAAATGGATCATTTTCATTACGTTTCTTTAGCAAATCGCAGCTGCTAATGTGTTGCGTTAACTGTGATTCTTTCAGTTCGTGAGGAACCCATGTATCGAGTTTTTGAACATAGCCAAGTTGTTTTAAGTGATTTTCAGTGCATGTATGTGATACATGAAGCTTCTCTGCAATCTCACGTGTTGTACTGTGACAGTCCGAATTGATTATTGCTTTGATTAGGGCGTCATCAACTTCAACTGGACGACCAGAGCGTTTTTCATCTTTGAGTGAAAAATCACCAGAACGAAATTTGGCAAACCAATTTTGACACTGCCGTTCTTTTAAGGCTTCGTCACCATAAACAGCACATAACTTTTTATGAGCTTGCGATGCGTTTTTCCCTTTGCGGAAATAAAAAAGCAAAATATGACGAAAATGTTCCTTTTGATTTTCCATTTTTCAACGAACGCCAAACGAAAACTACAAAACAGATCAAAAAACTTTTTTTTACTGATTAACAGCTGAATAGCCAACTATCAAATAACAAAATGTGTTTTACATTTGTACTACGTCTGCAAACCTAAAAATTCAACTGAAGCCATATGTGTGAAACCCGCAATTACTTAGTTGCCGACCCAATATATTTTATTGATTTTTTACAGAGAGGGAGAGAGAATTATAAACATTGATGAGAGAAATATTGATCAGCTGCCTTCTGCACACCCCCTACTGGGGATATGCCCATAACTAAAGTACATGCCCTTGACCAGAATCAAGCCTGGAACCCTTCAGTCCGCAGGCCAATGCCCTATCCACTGAGACAAACCAGTTTCGGTGAGAATTCTCTTTTTAAAGTAACCTGGGTCTGGCAATTTTTGGAAGGAAAAATTTTTTAAAAATATTTTATTGATTTTTCACAGAGAGGAAGGGAGAAGGACAGAGTGCCAGAAACATTGATGAGAGAGAAACATCGATCAGCCGCCTCCTGTACACCCCACACAGGGGATGTGCCTACAACCAAGGTGCATGCCCTTGACAGGAATCGAACCTGGGACCATTGAGTCCACAGGCTCACGCTCTATCCACTGAGCCAAACCGGTCTTGGCGGAAGGAAAAAAATTAATGATTTGATTTGTTTATTAGTTAAAGGAATATTTTGACTTTATATTCTTGAGTCAATTTTAAAATATCTTTTTATTACGGAAAATTTCAAACATGGAAAAATATTATAGAACAAATCATGAATTATCCCTCATATACCCAGCACCCAGTTTCTTAAGTCAGTTTTGCTAAGCTTTATTTTTTTCCAGAATTTATCTATTTCATCTAAGTTCCCAAGTGTTTTTGACTTAAATTATTCATAATATCTTCTCATCTTTTTCTCATCTTTTTTTTACCTTGAAAACATCTATAATTTTGTCTCTTTTCAATATATATATATATATACATACATATATATACACACACATATATATATTCTCCTCTTGATGAAATAAATCTTTTATTGTGCAGGGACCCTCTTTATCTAGTGATACTGTTTTCAGTGAAGTCTATTTTATCTGATCTTATTACAGCTACCCTGGCTTTTTGTTGGTTGTTTTTTCCTTGTGGCTTCTCCCATGTTTTTACATTTATGTATTTATTCTAGCTTTTATTAGGTTGGCTTATCGGAGTATCTAATTAGTCCTTTTGATGAGAAATGGAACTCTCTTTAAAAAAATACTGCAGTTGATTTGCTAATATTTTAGAGAGGATATTGGCATTTCTATTCATGAGTGAGACTGGTTAGCAATTAGGATGACATTATTATACACACTGATACACTTCTGAGAGTGAAAGGGAGAGCTGATAATAATTACCCTAGTATAACAGACATAAACCAAGACCACCTGGAGCAAACAAGGAGCGCCTTTCAATTTCTCTTTTCTCCTGACCACATTCTGTTGTATTATGTGAGGTTTGCAAAATGAAACAGGAAGCTTATGTGCCTTTTACAATGATCTTGAATAGGATAAATTACTTAATGTCTGTTTCTCTAAGTTTTGTAGAATTGGTTTCTTAAAAATCATCTGAACACGAGAAGTAGGTGAGAGTGAGTGTTCCCAGGGAGTGTGACTGGGCTCAGAAAGAAATTGTTAACCTTCCATCTTGTGTACTGTTTTAATTTTTTAAAGCCTCTCTCCGTTAGGGTTTCATGTTTGTCTCTACTAGTTAGCTGTGTGATCCTCGTAAATGACTCATGTCTCTGAACTTCTGTTTTCCCTCCGCACGGTGGGTCATTGTGAAAATTAAAGAACATTTCTTAGCACGCAGTGGAGTCTATTATGTTAGCGTCTCTTTTCCTGTAGTTGATCTTTAAAAGCTCAGATGTATCTTCTTAGATAAAGCGGAGACTGCCTACTTGACCCTTTGTCTTCTCACCATCCTTCAACAGGACTTCATTGACTTAACCAGAGAAGCCAGACCGAGGCCAAAGGATCGCAGTGCCATCTGTGTGATTGATCTGACGAGAACGGAGGAGGAAAACAGACCTATTGCCACTCTTGACTTGACTCTGGAACCCGTTGCTCCCTCCCAGAAGGAGTCAGCCAACCCTCAGACATGTGCCAGCCTCGCGGGCAAAGAGGCGACGGAAGGGCGGGCGGACAGGAGCGCGTGGCCCGCAGCGCGGAGGATCATTAACAGCGACCCTGTGGATTTGGACCTTTTGGAGGAATCCGCATTTGCAGGCGCCCACCCCCCTGCATCCATCCGCGGGGCCCCTGTGTGCCCGGCACAGCCGAACTGCAGCTCAGCCGCGTTCAAAGATGACTTGAGCTTCTTGTCCAGCCTAGATGTTCACTCCCTCTCCCCAATAAGCAATAATGGCAGCAGCAGCAGTCAAAGGGTGCCCTTGCCATGCCCTCAGCAAGATGTCCCTTGCCCACCACAAGCCTTGCCATGCCCACTGCAATCCTTGCCATGCCCACCACGAGCCTCCTCCTGCCCACCACGGGCCTTGTCGTGCCCATCACAACCTGCGCAGTGCCAACTACAAGCTTTGCCTAACCTGCCTCAAGAAATGCCATGCCTTCAGAATATGTCATGCCCTCAGCAAAGTATGACAAGCCCACCTCAGGACTCCTGGCATCCTCAGCACTTACCATGCTCACCTCAGGACTCCTGGCATCCTCAGCACTTACCATGCCCACCTCAGGACTCCAGGCATCCTCAGCACTTACCATGCCCACCTCAGGACTCAACATGGCATCCTCAGCATTCACCAGGCCAACCTCAAAACTCATCATGGCATCCTCAGCACTCACCAGGCCCATCACAAGACTCTCTCTGCCCGTCTCAAGACTCTCTGGGCCTACCTCAAGGTGTACCTGGCCCACCTCAGAACATATCCTGTCCACAGGAAGTGGCACATCTGCAAGACATGCCACAGTCACTGGGAGATATGCCACAGCCGCCAGATGTGCCCCAGTCATCAGGAGACATGTCACAGTCATTGCGAGATGTTCCACGGTCACCAAGAGATGCACCACAGACACCAAGCTATGCACCGCAATCACCGAGAGATACACTGCTGCCACCAAGAGATACACTGCGGTCACCAAGAAATACACTGCCGTCACCAAGAGATATACCACGGTCACCAAGAGATACACTGCCGTCACCAAGAGATATACCGCGGTCACCAAGAGATACACTGCCGTCACCAAGGGATGCACCACAGACACCAAGCTATGTACCGCAATCACCAAGAGATACAATGCGGTCACCGAGAGATACACCGCGGTCACCAAGAGATACACTGAGGTCACCCAGAGATGCACCGCAGACACCAAGTTATGTACCGCAATCACCAAGAGATACACCGTGGTCACCAAGAGATGCACCGCAATCACCAAGATGTGCACCCCAGTCACCAACAGGTTTGCCACAGTCACCAAGAGGTATGCCACAGTCACCTAGAGATGTGCCATGGTCACCAAGATGCGCACCACAGTCTCCAAGAGATATGCCACAGTTAACTGCAGAAGTCGCGCATTTACCTGATGTGCTCCATTCACCTGGAGACATGCCACCCTTGCTAGAAAACAGGCCTGACTCTATCCCAAATGATGTACAGAACCATGACACTCCTATGGATGTCTCAGGTCCATCTTCTCCAAGCTGCTCTCTCAGCCCACAGTCTCCACAGTCTGAAACTTCCTTAGAGAAAATTCCCTGGCTCTCTGTCACAGAAACTCCAGCCAGAAAGGGGATGTCACTGTCAGAGCCTGCCAACCCCGGGTCTGCCCACATACAAGCACGATCACCAGCAGGCGCATTGTACAACAGACCATGCCTGCATAGACTGAAGTACTTCTTACGACCTCCGGTGCATCACCTTTTCTTCCAGACACTAATACCCGATAAAGACATGAGAGAGGTGAGCTAACCTGGCTTCCCCCAGGGCTTAGATGCCCTCTGAACAGGCCTAGCATAAGGTTAGAATGCTAGCAGGAATCCAAGCATGAGAGAACATGCCCAATATGAACTTGACATTTTTATCTTCCCCTGTTTGCGAAACCATTTAATGTATTGCCAGACGTTGGGCTACATTTAACAACAGTGGGTCTTGATCCGGCTTCTTGAAGGGTTCTAGAATTTGCAGTAGGGGCTGTGTGTAAATTAAAGAAGAGTCCAGAGATGAAACATAATTTAGAAAGGCATTAGGGGAAGGCAGAGGAGCCTGGCTGAAGAAATCGAGTTCTTGCCTCAGGACCCCTTGCTTTTTATTAACACAAATTGTCCTAAGGCAAGGTGGAGATATTCACTTCAAAGGTTAGGGTTTCTTACAGAAGCATTGTCAGAATGGGGAATTGCCTTTGGGTGTTCAGGTGTTTGGCCAACAGGAGGCAATGATAGATAAAGATGCCCTGCTGTCTGACAGCAAGCATTCAATTTAATGCATCCTTTTCAGGTTTGGGGAAATGCCTTCAGCCATTCCCAACAGGCAATAACATATGTGACTCAACCCTTGGGTTGATGGAACTTGGGTGAGTCCCCAAGTTCCATCAACTTTTCAGTGAAACTCTTGCAATTATGACATGCTGGAATTGGCTTCTGGCAATGTACGACAAATGCTTACTTTCTAAATCTCAGGGTTTATTTTATCTATAAAGTAGGAATATGTACTTTTTTAAAAAAAATATTTTTTTTTATTGATTTCAGAGAGTAAGGGAGAGAGAGAGAGAATCACTAATCAGCTGCCTCCTGTATGCCCCCTCCTAGGGATTGAGCCCACATTCTTGGCATGTTCCTTTGACCAGAATTGAACCCGGAACCTTCAGTCCGCGGCCAATGCTCAATCCACTGAGTCAAACTGGCCGGAGCAATAATATGTATTTCTTAAGGTTATTGTGAGAAATGAGGATAAGTTCAATGTACAAAAATTGTTTTATAATTAATGCTATTATTCCTATATCAAACTTCTTAATGTTTGTTTTTATTCTGGTTATGAATGTAATATATGTCCATTATGGAAAAATTGAAAATACAAAAGAGCATATAGAAAAAAATCACCTATAATTCCACTACCCAGATAATAGAAACCACTTTTCACTTTTTTCTCTCCCAGACTTTATATACATATTTTTTGGGTGAGAAAGCAACTTAATATTTACTAGCAACTGAGAGAGAGAGAGAGAGAGAGAGAGAGAGAGAGAGAGAACAAAATGGGATCTTTGCCTAACAGTAAAACATAATGTAAAATATATTTCTTCCTCTACTTCAGTACCTGATAAATTATTATAACTACCCCTAAATATCTTATCACCCTCACCCCAAAATCAGCTTAGGCTAGCTCTTGACTCTTTGCTTGTCTTGCTATGCTATATTTTAACACAGAGGAAGTCATGTTATATGCAGAATACTGAATTCTTGTTTTTTAACTTAATATAAGCATTTCCCCATGTCATTGAACATTTTTAAATAAGCCCTTCCAGTCTCTTTTTTTTTTTTTAAATTATGAATATTTCAAATGCATGGACAACTTTGCTGTCTTCAACCTATTCCAGAACCTCTTGTTTTTAAGTCTGTAGAAACCTATCCTAATTTATTTCTCTTTGTCTCTACAGAACAGGGGTCAAAAACTAGAACCCATCCCCCATCGAAGACTAAGAATGGTAACAAACACCATTGAAGAAAATTTCCCCCTGGGGACGGTGCAGTTTCTGATGGACTTCGTGTCCCCCCAGCATTACCCACCCAGAGAAATCGTGGCACACATCATCCAGAAAATCCTGCTCAGCGGCTCTGAGACCGTGGACGTCCTGAAGGAGGCCTACATGCTCCTCATGAAAATCCAACAGTATGAGCCTTAGCTGTGGGCAGCCCTGCTAGGGAGCCTGGACTGGGGCTCTGTTCTGCTAGCCATTAGAGAGGGTGACTTGGTTATTGGCTTACTAGGTGACATACTAGAGTTATTTGGATTGCTAGTTGACAGGAAAGCCAATCCACACTGGCGGTCACAGATAGTAAAAGACTCTGTAATGCTGCATGTTACTAGAAACCTAGGAATGAAACGACGTAATTCAGTTAAAAACAGTTATAAGGATCCGTTTTTCAGCTCTGCTCTGCTTCTGCTCCCGGGCTGCATGTGGCCGCCTTCTCAGCCTCTAGCTTTCTCGATCCTCTGAGTGGGAGAGCGAACCGGCTTCCTTTCTAAGCACACAGCGTTCTGAAATTGAGGCTTTAGGCTTTACTTGGCATAACCTAAGACGTGAGCCCCTCTGTGGACAATCCCTGCAAACTGAGGGTAGACTATCACTGAATCCATAGGCTTCATCCCAGGGTCCTGGTGGCAAAGCCAGTGGCCTAACTAATGAAGGTTCATTTCCTCAAGGCAAAATGGGGTCACTAATGCCTTCCAAAGGGGAAGTGGATGCGGGGGGCAGAGAAAGAGAAGGAAATCCTGCCTCCAAGTGAACGTATGGTATCGAAGGGGGCGGGCAGCAGCGCTCAGGATCAGAGAGGCTTCTGGCTTCTGTCGCCGACACCCCAGCCCCTCCCCACTGAGCTCTCAGAACGCTAACAGCTCGCCCCTTGACTTTCAGGCTCCATCCAGCTAATGCCAAGACGGTGGAGTGGGACTGGAAGCTGCTCACGTACGTCATGGAGGAAGAGGTAACCGGGCAGTTATGAGGGGGGTGTCTCCTGCAGAGGAAATTCTCACCAGAAACAACAGTAACAGCAAAGCGGATAGTCAAGTCTCTGCCATTATTTCCTTATTCTCTCATCCCCATCAGATAATGCCTACTGACATGGTATGTGCTGTCTTCTCACTCAAGATTGAGGACATTCACGTATCCCTCTCTTTCTCGAGCTCCCCTGAGAAATAACCGTAAATGAGTAGGGAAGTTGTTAATCCATGGCAATGAAAGGAAGAACATTCGGTCTGAATGAAGGTGGGGAGATCTAGAGGAAATGTGAGAGTGATGATGGATGAAGCGAGGCAGAGAAGCCAGAGGCCATGTGGGAAGGGCCGCAGCCAAGGAGGGAGAAAACCTGCCGAAAGGACATGAATGTGTGGCCAGTGGACACAGACCACAATGTGGGGAGGGCCACAGGGAGGAGGGCGGGGTCTCAGTGAATGAGGGCAAACAGAGAAATTGGGGACATGTCTAATGTCAACAATTAAAAATAATAATACTGCCCTAACTGGTTTGGCTCAGTGGATAGAGCATTGGCCTGCGGACTAAAGGGTCCCGGGTTCAATTCCGGTCAAGGGCATGTACTTTGGTTGAGGGCACATCCCCAGTAGGGGATGTGCAGGAGGCAGCTGATCAATGTTTCTAACTCTCTATCCCTTTTCCTTCCTCTCTGTAAAAATAATAAAATATATTTTAAAAAATAATAAATAATACTACTAATAAATAAAATGGTGATGGTAGCAGAACTTGATATATTTATAACAAATCATTTGTTATACATTTAAAATGGATGAATTTTATGGTTTGTTAGCAAAGTTGTTTTTAAAAATACCAAAAAATGCCGAAACCGGTTTGGCTCAGTGGTAGAGTGTCGGTCTGCGGACTGAAAGGTCCCAATTCGATTCCGGTCAAGGGCATGTACCTGGGTTGCGGGCACATCCCCAGTAGGGGGGGTGCAAGAGGCAGTTGATTGATGATTCTCTCTCATAGATGTTTCTAACTCTATCTCTCTCCCTTCTTCTCTGTGAAAAATCAATAAAATATATTTTTAAAAAATAAAAAATTTTAAAAAAAATACCAAAAAAAAAAAAATCAATTTGGAAGAGTATTCTCAAAATTCAACAATTCAACACTATTCTTGAGGAGGTGAAAGAACTAAACTGATAATGTCAGGCAGTGTAGAAAGGATTCAAAAGAAGCTTTAAGAAGATAAAAAATCTTCACCAGAAAGAAATGATTTTCTTAGTATACTGTATGGATCTCCAATGTAGTAAATAATTTTAACATAGTCCTTACACTGTAAGCAATATTCAGTTATCATGTTTAAAATCAATTTTATACAAAGCATGGAAGACAATTTTATTCGCTTTGACAGTGGAAAATAGAAAAGTATAGAAGATAAAGGATGGGAAATGAAAAGAGCATCTCTGAGAATAGTAGGGCTATTACAGTGTCCTTATCTTACAGCATGGAGAGACAGACTATATTATTTGTAGAGGTTGGGACATAAATTGAGGTAGTTATTTTAGGAAGAGAAGTGGGATATGGCATAAATGAGATAAGTCATCATCTAGCATAGCAGAAACCAATCAGTAATGTCAAAAGCTGATAAACAAAAACACAGTGCGATAGAGCGTGTTTTAGAGATCTTTAGGGTAACCTGCAGAAAGCTCAGCTCTGCCTGCGGGCGCTGGAGGACAGATGGCTGCGGAGAGGTGTCACCGGAAGATTCAGAAATCAGCACAAGCCCTTGAGTTTTCCGAAAGCATTTACATCGATAAAAATGAGAGAACACGTACTTTTGGAAGACAAAAGTATCCCATCCCCACATCCTCCAAAGAAAGGAAGAAATGGTAGATACTCAGAACGGCCCTTCTTCCTGCTGACCAAGAGGTCAGTTTCTAGAAAACGTGCTGCCCTGGGTGTTTGAGAAGTCCCCGCAGAGGCCAGACCTGGTGGGTGCCCTCTCGTGCTCTGAAGCTTCGCAGCCCGAGTGCCCGGCCTGGACCCAGCACTGTCTCCCAAAGGGAAACGGCTGACTGCGCCTGCGCCTGCAGAGTGACAGTGACATCGGCTCTGGTTAGAATGACCACAGAAACCCAGGACACGGAGACTCAGGCCTGCGTTAGATAAGAGGACCGAACAGACAAACAGCCGGAAATGAGGTCTGAGTGCCCCCAAAGCGGAGGGTCTTCACCTGGCACAGAAAGCCCGCAGACCTGCCGGCCAGTGAGGCTGCATCCCTGCTCCCGCTGCCGGAGGTCCCCGCCGGGGGTCACGGTGGCTTAGCCAGCGTTCGGCAGAGATGTTTGGGAGCCAGCTCCCGCCTCTGTTCGGAGAGCCGCAGTGAAGGCTTTATTCTGAAACTGATAGACTGAGTGAGAGACTCCCTTCCCTGCGTCCCTCATCATCGGGAAGTCTGCACCCTGAGCCCTAGGAACACCGTTTCCCTCATCTGTGCTGACCTGTCTGCCTGCTCTCCCTGCCAGGGCAGGCGCACTGTGGACTCGTGGCCTTCCTTGGGACTGAGTCTTTTTTTTATTTTCAACATATTTTATTAATTCCTTACAGAGAGGAAGGGAAGGGATAGAGAGCCAGAAACATCAATGAGAGAGAAACATCGACCAGCTGCCTCCTGCACACCCCGCACCGGGATGTGCCCTCAACCAAGGTACATGCCCTTGACCGGAATCGAACCCGGGACCTTTCAGTCCTCAGGCCCACACTCTATCCACTGAGCCAAACCGGTTTTGGCGGGATTGAGTCTCAATGAGGGCCCCGTGCTCACTGTCACTGGGAGATGCACTACTTCTCATTCTCTCCCGCAGGGACAGCATCTGCCTGGGCGCGTCCTCTTCCTGCGCTACGTGGTGCAGACCCTGGAGGACGACTTCCAGCACACGCTGCGGAAGCAGCGGCAGCACCTGCAGCAGTCCATCGCCAGCATGGTGCTGTCCTGCGACAAGCAGCCCCACAACGTCAGGTGGCCAGCCCGGAGCGCTGGGGCGGCGGGAGGCAGGGGGTGGGAAGGCACTCTAGAGCGGAGGCTGTGACAGGGATGGTTACTGAGACCATGGACAGCCCAAGACACATCCTCTCTGCCAAGCGGAGGCTGGGCACCAGAGATGCGTTTCTCCCAAGGCCATCAGACTTCCTGTGGTCTGTTCACTGTTGTCCTCACAGCCTCAGGAGATCTAAGAGAAACCTCACTGGCAGTCAGTCTAGGGATAGGAAATCAGTAAGTGGAGAATCCCCAGAGCGCAGGACAGCGTCGCTGGGTTTTAATTTAAAAGTATCAGTTTGAATGAGAGCAGTTCTGTCCACCATTGTGTGGTTGAGTGCAGGCATTGGATGGAGGAGGCAGCGGGAGCCACGATCCCACGCTAGCCAATGCTGTCAGTCACTTTCCTTCCCGCCCCTCCTGACGGGGCCTCCCACTACACAGAGTGATTCTTGGGTTTAAAAACAGGCGTTTGTGGCCTCAAAATGCAAACTGGGTCCTCCATTTGTGCTCTATCAGTGAAGAAAGCCATCTGTTCCAGATGGAAAACGAGGTGTCTTTGATTCAGTAAGAGACGGCTATGAGATTAAGGCTGTGGCTACATGGATGTGGCCAGTGGGGAGACCTAGGCGGTTAGGAGCCCAGGTTAAGGCTGCACTTCTGAGCACCATCCAACCAGACAAAAGGTGAAGCTTTTTCTAATCTCTTTTCCCTGGCAGAGATGTGATCAAGTGGTTGGTTAAGGCGGTGACCGAAGGCGCGTTACCTCAGCCCCCAAATGGGAGTCTCACCGGCTCGGGAACAGGCACCACGAAGGCCGGCAGCAGCCACACGCCTCCCCCTCCCGCTCTGACGAAGAACGCCACGCAGGTGTAAGGGCAGGAGCCCCTGTGCCAGGGCTGCGGGGCTGGACCAGAAAGGGCCCCGCTCCCTCAGAGCATTCCCCGCTAGCCAGCCTCGAGCAGACGGGTCTCACTAAAGACTGTCTTGTTTGACCAGAGGCTGAATTTCTAACTCCAAAGGCAGAACAGCCGCAGATGCCCCCTCCCCCCAAATAGACGGATAGGACTCCACTGCGGGAACGCAGATTTATAACCGAAGTGAAGCAAAACACAGGGACACAGCCCTCCCCTCTGGGCACCAAGAGGCAGTGCAGTGCAGCTGGCGTCCTCCGCCTCACGGACAGAGAAGGGGCGGGGAGTGGGCGCTCGGCAGCCGCTAGTCCCTCTCCTCCCACCTGGGAGGGCCTGGCCGTTCACCCTGCCAGTCCTGCCAGCTCAGAACAGCGGTGGCTCAGACAGCACCGGGAAGAGATGCCTGGAGTTTCTTGGTGGGGCTGAGAGCGGTCTGGGTATTTTTTGAGAGATGCCAAGATTTTAGCGGCTGGAGCTGCCCTATACAAGTAACCCTCCATCCTGTGTCAGTCATGTTGTGAGAAATCAGTCACACGTGGCATTTCAAACACACCACTTGTGCTTAAATTCACAACACTATGTTACAGTCTAGTTGCAGATTTTCGTATAAGGCCTACGGGTTTTGACTAACTTAGGAAACAGTCTTGCATCAAAATGGAGAATGTCCTGGAGCAGAAAAGCACTTACGTGGGCAGCCCTGAAGGAGGGTCATCCCAGAACCCCAGCCTACAGATCCGAGAGAGGCTGACACGGGTCCTTTACAGGAAGCTAATCACACATGAATAATAGTAACAGGACATTTATTTTAAGTGAATATTAATAGAAATAAAAGTCTATTTACTATGATCTTACCAATAACAATAGGCACTACTGTTTACCATTCTGGCTGCCCCATGTCCCTCAGAGCACTCACCGCTTTCTGAACCAGGCCCTGCCAGTCATTTGTCAACAGGTGAACAGCCTGTCACTGCAGGCCGGAATCTGAGGCCCGTGCCTCTGGCCCACCTACTGTGTCACCGCCTCAGGCTTTCAACAACAGCCTCTCTCCCATCACAATGAAGATGCCTGTTAGAAAAGGCGGGCTTCGGCCTCGCGCCCCTGAGGGCTGTCCAGGTTCCTTCTGCCACGTTAGCCTGGTGGGGTCTCACGGGAGAGGGCCACGTCCCACCAGTTGAAGTTCTGAGAAGGAACTGAGCAAAATGAGTGTAAAGGAAGCAGTAATAGGAGAAAACCAAATGGTGAATATCTACTGGGGTGGGCAAAGTAGGTTTGCAGCTGGAAAAGGACAGAATACAATAACTAATAAATAATGCAAGAACAAGCTCTGCATTTCACAACTGTAAGCCTACTTCCCACCTCTGTATTTCCCCCTGAATCAGAGATTCAAATACTTGGTAGCAGTTTCTCCATCTGCACAGCAAAAGTTATAGATGATCCTCCAAGTACTCTAGACCCTTCTGATTGTCTGTCTCTATCTTTGAATTTAAAAGCAGCTTGCTGCCGAAACCGGTTTGGCTCAATGGATAGAGCGTCGGCTTGGGGACTGAGAGGTCCCGGGTTCGATTCCGGTCAAGGGCATGTACCTTGGTTGCGGGCATATCCCCAGTGGGGGGTGTGCAAGAGGCAGCTGATCGATGACTCTCTTATCGACGTTTCTAGCTCTCTATCCCTCTCCCTTCCTCTCTGTACAAAATCAATAAAAATATATTAAAAAAAATAAAAAAAATAAAAATAAAAGCAGCTTGCTTTTGCAGCTCACCCCAGGTTCTGAGAGGTTCAGATAGTATGGTCTGGCAGAAGGGACTCAGGTAGGTGGAACGGCTGGACAAAAGCATGCTGGTGGCTGGAGTAGTCCTCCCTGACCTGTGTGCTCCTGAGACCTTGTAGATGGCTGGTGGGCTCCTCCCTGCCAGCAGGTGGCTCCTCCCGGCCGGCCGCCACTCACCTGCTCTGTTCTGGCCCAGGATCGTGTGCCAGCTGCAGAGGATGCTGTCCATAGCCGTGGAGGTGGACAGGACCCCCACCTGCAGCTCCAATAAAATCGCCGAGATGATGTTCGGGTTTGTGCTGGACATTCCCGAGAGGAGTCAGAGGTGAGTCTTAGTTCTGTTTTCCTTTTTCATTCCTGGAACATCATTTTGAAATAAAATTCCAAACAGTAGTGGGGGGTGGGGGTAGTTCCTGTTTCTATAACCTGTAAAAGACAGATTTTTTTTTATTGGTTTTTAAATATATTTTATTAATTTTTTTTACAGAGAGGAAGGGAGAGAGTAACATCCATCAGCTGCCTCCTGCACACCCCCTACTAGGGATGTGCCTGAACCAAGGTACATGCCCTTGACTGGAACTGAACCTGGGACCCTTCAGTCCACAGGCCAATGCTCTATCCACTGAACCAAACCGGCTAGGGCAGTGGCCGTCAAATTCATTAGTCAACAGAGCCAAATATCAACAGGACAACAATTGAAATTTCTTTTGAGAGCCAAATTTTTTAAACTTAAACTTCTTCTAACGCCACTTCTTCAAAATAGACTCGCCCAGGCCGTGATATTTTATGGAAAAGCCGCACTCAAGGGGCCAAAGAGCCGCATGTGGCTCGCCTTGCGAGCCGAAGTTTGCCGACCACGGGATTAGGGCAAGAAGACAGTTTTTAATGAATTCTTTTTTTTTTTTTTATAATATATTTTATTGATTTTTTACAGAGAGGAAGGGAGAGAGAGAGAGCTAGAAACGTCAATGAGAAACATCGACCAGCTGCCTTTGTACGCCCTCTACCGGGGATGTGCCTGCAACTAATGTACATGTCCTTGACTGGAATTGAACCTGGGACCCTTCAGTCCGCAGACCGACGCTCTACCACTGAGCCAAACCAGCTTCGGCTCAATGAATTCTTATTATTTGCAACTGAGTCATAATTTTTTGGGAGAAGTCGGGATACCTTAAATGGAGCACAAACTTTCCTACTTTACCCATTAACTAACGATCTTACTCCTTCAAGGTTCACCTGCTAAGCACAACCTTCTCCCCTGACCCTCAGCCAGAGAGCCTGGCGTACATGTTCATGGGCGGCCTGAGAGGCGGAGGAAGCAGGCATGTCCAGTGTTAGAGATGATCTGAATGGGCAGGGCGGGGCCTGCGGAATGAGCCTGGCAGAAAGACTAAGGAACCAGTTTCTCTAACATGAATTAATCGAGCATTCCACTGGGAGGGGATACAGAAACTGAGGTTTTGGCTAGAATTAAGGATCCTTTGTTTGAACCAACTATTTCAGAATCCAGAGGAAGACAAGTAAACCGGAATGAATATGAATTCGTGAACACTTGCTGGTACGGGGAGTAACTATGGAGAGCAGTGTACGTGTGACCCTCGGAGAAATTATCTCCCTCAGCTCTCTGCTCTTCACCCAACCCCGATGCTCCCAGCTGCAGCCAAGCATATTCTTCCTCCGCTCTGGTTCCTCCATCGGATGAAACAGTCCTACCAAACATTAGCCATAGGGTGTAATGCAAACACCTGGCTAAGGTTAACACCGGCATCTATTGGGTCCCTACAGTGCGCCAGTCATGGTCACGTTCTCATATTTTCATAAGACTAAAAGAGGAGAAAAATACTAAATGTGAAGTAACTAGTCCAGGGTTACCCAGCTGAACAGATTCAGAATCGGAATTTAAGCCCAGGCCTCTAAGTCCCAGGCTCACTGTCCAAAGGAGGCCGCCTGTGAGAGGTCAGGGAGAAGCTATGCTTAGATGCTGTGTTGCTTTACCGCTTCATTTGGGTCCAACTCTCTCCATTCATTTAAGCCCCGATTCTGCTGAGAGGGGAGAAGTCTGAGGACCACATAACTATCCACAAATTTAGATTCAATATAGACAAAAATAATTAAAGTAAAAAGTGGCCCTACTTTCAAACACTCAGAAGGGGCAAATTGGCACTCACCAAGTTATACTAAAAAACCCTTTATCTTAAGGTTCCTTGCTGAGAACAGTATCTAGCACACTGTGAACATCCAGAAATACTATTCTTAACATTAATTCTCTTAGTCACAGTATGAAGTAGTTCTTCTTAATGTCCTAAATCAGTCTTCTCCAATACCAAGGTTCTCCCCTTCCAGTGGTTGTTCATGAATAAATCTGTGTCTGCCCGTCCCCGGGCCTGGTGAGGGTACAGGCCTCCATTGGGTTCTGTGTCTGGTGAGAGTGCAGGCCTCAGTCATGTAGTGTGTAGGTTCTTTCTTAGCCGCCTGTTTCAGGGCAAATGAGAGCATCCAGGGGGAATGGTGGATCGTTCCTGGAAATGAGAGCCGGCGGTGAGCTCCCTCTTCACCTTCTCCACGCAGAGAGATGTTCTTCACCACCATGGAGAGCCACCTTCTGCGCTGCAAAGTGCTGGAGATCATCTTCCTGCACAGCTGCGAGACGCCCACCCGCTTGCCCCTGTCGCTGGCCCAGGCCCTGTACTTCCTGAACCACTCCACGTCGCTGCTCAAGTGCCAGGTACTGCCTCCCTCCTCGGGTCAGGCCAGGACACCTCCCCACCCGAGCATCACGTCCCAGGGCCAGGAAGCTGCTCATGCCTTCGCCGGGGGGGTGGCCATTAGCACGTGCTCTTCTGTCTCCGCAGTCGGACAAAGCCCAGTGGCAGACGTGGGATGAGCTGGTGGAGCACCTGCAGTTCCTGTTATCCAGCTACCAGCACGTTCTCAGAGGTAAGATGGCGTGAGTCTCACGAGGACAGTATGGCGCCTTAACGTTACTGGGGATTCCAGTCAGCCAGCCTTGCTCCTTGGTTGTGCCTGTGAGGAGCAGGGAGTGACAGCTGGAATCACTGCTGAGAAACAAGAACCCGCCTGTTTTCGTGATAGCACATACACAACACATGGGTCCTCACCACGATTAGGAGTGAGCAAGAGTCATCAGACAGGGGAGGTGCTCAGTAAGTTCCTGTCTCGCTCTGACAACTGACCCAGCCCATCCCTGCCATGTCTTTGCTGACTGACCACAGACATTATAGACATCCGTCAGTATGAGGCACAGCGCGCATCAGCGGGAGATAAAAGCGCACATCCTACAAAAGATGGGAGGCATCCTGAGGCCTGGCAGAGCGGCTCTGCTCATCCCAGGCAAAGCAGAGAAAGAGCTGCTTCAAACGGGAATGATTTGTTAGCAAGGATTAGTGGGGCCTGGGAAAAGCGGTGTGATCATTAGTGACAAAAGGAAAGACAGCAGCGTCAGAAGAAAACTGGCATTCCTCTGGAGGGGATGCCGGAGGAATGCCATATTCTTGCCAGAAGTCCATGACCTGGTCCCAGGAAAATCAGACAAACCCATTCTGTGGGATTTCACAGAACAACTGGCCTGTGCTCCTCAAAAGTGCCCCTTTCTTCAAAACAAAGGACTGAGAAACTGCTCCATTTTAAAAAGGAACTAAAGAAGCTAGAAAGTACAGTCTTGGGGTAATTGATGATATTTAAACAGATTATAGAACTGCGTTAATATTAAATTTCCTATTTTTTATAATTATCCTGGCCTATGAATTTTTTTAAATATACATGTATTTTTTAATCCTGATTTTTTACAGAGAGGGAGAGGATAGAGAGTTAGAAACAATGATCAGTTGCCTCCTGCACACCCTACTGGGATGTACCCTCAACCAAGGTACATGCCCTTGACTGGAACTGAACCTGGGACCTTCAGTCCGCAGGCCAACGTTCTATCCACTGAGCCAAATCAGTCAGGGCGACTGTAAGTGTTCTTGATCTTAGGAGATCTATACTGAAGTATTGAGGGATAGAAAGAAGGGCAGAATCTTATTCTCAAACAATAGAAAAAGTGTGTATATAACATTTATCTGCATGATCCTGTTGAGGTTGATTTTAGCTCAGTAGAGGCTCTTGGGAAGGTAAGAGTCCTAGAACTGAGGTGGATGTTATAGAGACAGAAAAAAAAACACACAAAAAAACCTCTGGATTTAAGACAGAAGAGCAGAGTTTAAATCCAACCCAAGCACTTACTCTGTGCTGTGCAGCTAACTTGGTCTCTAGACCCGTCTCTCCTCCTGCAGAATGGGGTTGGTAATATTTAAGCTGCCAATGCTGCTTGCAAGTAGGTGTGAGGACTAGTAGGCATGGCTCAGGCATTGTGCGTGGACCTTGGTCTGCCTGTTTGCCTAACCACGGGTAAGCCACAAGGGTCTTCTCTCTTTCAAGTTTTATAGATAGATAGATAGATAGATAGATAGATAGATAGATAGATATTTTTACATAGAGGAAGAGAGAGAGGGATAGAGAGTTAGAAACATCAATCAGCTGCCTCTTGCACTCCCCACTGGGGATGTGCCCACAACCAAGGTATATGCCCTTGACTGGAATCGAACCTGGGACCTTTCAGTCTGCAGGCTGACGTTCTATCCACTGAGCCAAACCGGTTTTGGCTCTTTCAAATTCTTGTAACTAAACAGAGTGCAAAGTCAAGGCCACAGCATACACTTACGTCAGGGAATGGTACTTGTCCTTCTCAGAACAAAGCCCCAAAGGCAAATTCCACGGATACTTAGCCTCTCTGGGCTTTATGTAACTTTCTTTTGGAGATCTAGCAGAAAGTTTAATATTAAAGCAGCTTGTTTTTGTTTAAAGTTCACCTTTAAAACATCTTGTTCACTTGTTTTGCTTCCCAGGAAATAGACCTGTGTCATGGGCAATAGTGACTTAACATAGACATGGATTCTGATTTAATTACAGAATATTCTTATGCTTTAACTAAGGGAAAGGAAGGCCTCAGATCAGCATACAGGGGTGGCAAAAGTAGGCTTACGGCTGTAATACAAATAAAGAACACAATAATTAATAAATAATACAAATACAAACTTCCAGGTCCTCACAAATGTAAGCCTGCTTTTGCCACCCCGCATTGTAAATGGGCCGTGACGCAATGCTCGCTCCTTTGTCCCTGACATCCTCTCCAGCTTCCGCGGAGACCAAGCAGTTTGAAACAGTGTCCTACCCTGAAATGGTCAGTGAGGGCTCCCTACTCATCTCTGCCTCTTCACATGATCTGAGGACACTGGGAGCTCAGCCTGTTGTCAGAGGTGGGGAAGAAGGGGAAGGTGGCTGAAAAGCCTAACATGGAGAGAGGAAGCAAGACAAGCACATTCACATACACTAGCTTATATCATCCAATGACCTTGTGAAAGCCATTGACCTTTCACAGACGGGACACAAAGACAGAGAAGAAAGCAAAGGCAGAGCCAGGACTACACTCGGGGCTGTTGCCAAAGTCTGCAGGGGAAACGCTGGAAGGAACACCTTTTCTGTGAAATCAGCAAGTGAGCGTCTACGGAACTCCCTGTACATGACTAAATTACTTCTGTGCGGACCCTGGACCTTGGGGAGAAGTCCAGCCTGAACCTTCACATTTTACAGACATTCCCGGAGCAGAGCAGCCCCACAGACATGGACGCTGGGCTGTCCGCTGAGCTCATCCTCCGGCTGAAAGAAACCACCCCACCCCCGTCTGAGCACAAATGTCTTTCCTCATTTGGCCTGTTCTACAATGACAGGAAGTGGTTCACGTAAACCAATACCACAGTAAACATACTAAAGACAAGTTCAGTATTCCTCTGCAATTCTTTCATACTTAGGAAAAATCTTCCTGAAGATACTAAACATTCACTTGAATATTTTTCAAGTGGTTATATTGATTTTAAATATAGTTTCATTGTTTAAACCAACAAGGGAAAATTAAAATGAATAGAATTTATTTAAAATCTGAAAAACTTGAGGACCAGCAAAAACAACAATGGACCTTTTGGAAATAGTTACCACAAGTGCCCACTTGGCCTTGACTTGTGTCCCAGTAACTAGTCCACAAGTCTGTGCCCAGACCCTGCCTACTAAACTGGACTTCAGTGTCCTAAACCACAAAGGAATAAAAGCATTCATTTCAACTGACTTGTTCCCTCTTGCAGAGCACTTACGGAGTTCGGTGATCGATCGGAAAGACTTAATCATCAAAAGGATTAAGCCCAAGCCCCAGCAAGGCGACGACATCACCGTGGTGGACGTGGAGAAGCAGATCGAGGCCTTCCGCAGCCGCCTGGTGCAGATGCTGGGCGAGCCGCTGGCCCCCCAGCTCCGAGACAAAGTGCACCTGCTGAAGCTGCTGCTCCTCTACGCTGCGGACCTGAACCCCGACGCAGAGCCCGCCCCCCAGCACTGGGGCAGCCGCTGAGGCCCCTCCGCACCGAGCACCAGAATACCTCTGGGACTGGGTCGCCTACTACTTGCAAGTTCGGAAAGTCTGGAAAGTAGTTAAGAGTCTTACAGGACCAAGCCTATCCTATTTATCTGTAGGTTATAACTTTCTAACTCTTTAGTAAATAGCTTTTTTAAAATAATCCTATCCTAGCCTATACTCAAATATGGCTTAAATATACAAGGTGTATATATTTTTTGATAAATTATTTATCTATACTTTTTGAAACAGGTACTATAAGCACTTACATGTTTAACATTCCCATTCAGGATATGAAAAAAATCCTCTGAACAAATCCTAGACATCAAATGTTACGCAAGGTACTGATGCCCTGTTCTGAAAGAGAAAGACACATCCGCTTCTCCCTAACGGAACACAAACATCAATATTAGATTTGTTATATTGCCTATGAATTTGATTTTGTGGCAAGTCTATTAAGATATAATGTAACGGGGAAAGGATGGAAAGTTAGAAATTAAAGAGGATGAGTGTTAACAAAAAATGTTAAAAGGATACAATAAAAAGGCAATGGTTTTTCAAAATACCAAGTTTACTTGCTTACCAGGACTGTGAGTAAGCAGAATGCAATAACCACTCTTAATAGGACGTTTGAGAAAGTAGTAAAGAATTTTATTATTAAAACAAGTAAGAGATACGAGCTTAACAGAAGACACAATAAATTAATTGTTCTCACCCTTTGAGACGCCAGCTCCCCATGCAGACACGACCCCTCCAAAGCACACACAGCAGTGCTCCGAGCCAGCGCTCAGGACAGGGACTGAGCACGCGCGGTGAGGAGTGAACAGGGGCTCCCCCTGGTTCCTGTCCCCGGAAGCTCTGTGCTCACAGCCTGAGGCTCGCTGGGGGCCATGGTTGCGTATAGAACCTTTTTTCATCCTTCCACGTGGCTCTTAGAAAAAGTGGCAGGTCCCGGTGACACCTTTTCACGTGAATGCCTGGACTAGAAGTTCCATCTAGTTACCACCATCTTTATTCTTAAAAACTTTAACATCCATTAATCTATACCAAAGCAGTAGGCTGAATTTTCTCCCTTAGAAACTTTCCTACCAAATTGGAGTTAACTTAATCTCACCTTAAAGTGCAGCAGAGGATATGCAAGACTGGTGCTTGCTGACAGGTGAAGAGAGCCCTGCCCAGCAGAACCGCGGAGGGCATCCCAGGAGCTCCAGCGAGGGCCCCGTCTCCACCAGGAGGGTCCCTGCCGAGTCTGGCTTCTCTTCGTGCCCAGATCCCGTAGGTCCCCACACCACGCACGGAGCGCACAGCTCCAGCCGTCAAGAGGGCGGAGGCCAGTCAGTGAGCACCCCTACTCCCCGCCGTGCCCACGCCCTCGCTGACCCTGGTCTTTAAAGGAATCGAGAAGTCTGGGTTTGGGAACAACGTAAGCATTATCTACCTCGTAAGCAATGATAAGTTCTTGTCTAGGCTGAATAATGCAAAAATAGGTGCTCAGGCCCTACACATCACCGCTGAGAGCATTTAGTCTAACTTTAAATTAAAGAACGCACAGTGGCTTCTTCCACACAAGGACAGGCTTTGCACTAATGTTTCTCAAAAACCAATTAAGTCTCCAGTTCTAGCCTCAGGTTAAGATTAAAAAAAAAAAAAAAAAAAAAAAAAACAACATTCCTATGTCAGAGCCAGGGTGATAAGGAAGTGGGTGCAAGACACTATCAGTCATTGGAAGAGAAAGCTCTAGAAGCCGGTGGGTGTGAGCACATTCAAGTCCCGGGGTTTGAGGTTATGGGTCCGAGGCGGTGGTTTCTTCCCTTCCATCACCGGAAGGTCCATCTTGGGCGGCTTGAAGGCTGCGGGGTCCTCGGCCATCCGGGTGGCCTGCATGCGCATCACTTCCATGGGGGAAGGCTTCGGGGCTCCTCGGTAGGGCTGGGTGGCAAAGCCGCCTGCGAAGGAACCAGAGCAAATGATTTCAAAGCAGGAAGCGGCGGAGCAAGGCCTCCGGCTGCTCGCTCTTTTGAGGGAGCTGGCTTACCGGAATCGGACTTCTGGATGGATCTTGGGCCAAAGAAGCTCCATTTATCGGCCGAGCTCCTGTCTTTATCGCCGCTGCCGGAATCCATGGAGCTAAAATGTGGGCCGGGTAAGGCTGTGGACGAGCCCGAAGAGAACCAGCCTCTGGCAGAGAAGAAGAAACAGCCCGATAGGTCCTCTCCTCGCCCTCGAGAAGGGTCTCGTGCGAAAAGCCTGGGACTGTCAGCTCCCCTCCGCTCAGACCACAGCTTCAGCCCCGTCCGCACGCACCCCCGCTCGGAAGGGCACAGGCGGGCTCACCTCGGCTTCTGCTTAGGGGAGGAGTGGGGGGTGCTGCTGGGCGTGGACTGGGCGGAGGCCGGCTGCTTCTCGTCCCTCGTTACGTCTCCGCTCTGCAGTTTTAGTTTCTGTTCGGATGGGTAAGAGAGAGACCTGAGCCAAGTGTGGGTATAAACATCCTGGTCCAACCTCAGACAAAGGGGAAACATTAAGGGGGAATAATTTCGGATTCTAGAACAGATATTCCTTCATTTTGTCATACTACCGTGTTTCCCCAAAAATAAGACATCTTCCGAAAATAAGACCTAGCGCATGGAAAGATAAGCCATCCCCTGAAAATAAGACCTAGCACAACTTTGGGAGAAAAAATTAATATAAGACACTGTCTTATTTTCAGGGAAACGGTAGATGGAAACCCACCTTTTAAAAAACAACTAATTCTACAACATTTCTAAATGACTAATTCTAAACATTTCTGCACTAAAAACCACATTAGAGCTTTCAAATTTCCCACCTCGTCCAGCCAGTAAGTACAAGAAGTCAAGCTGCAGGCCTTCTGTGCCTTCGCAGTATGGCCTGAACTCTTCCCTGCTGCCTCTCCTGCCACGGACGACCCGCCACGCCGGCTCTCGAAGCCACGGTTGGGCATGCCACTCGGCCAGCTGCCTGCTCCCTCTGGCCTTTCCCTCCGTGCCAGCCCGTGGCTCCCGCGCTGCGCACACACCTCTGACATAAACCAGCGGCTGCCGGGGAGGATCTACTTCCCAGTCCTTCCAGGTCGAGGCTCCCTGCCTGCCTCTGTGCTCCGTGTCTGCTGTGCCAATGCCGAGCCCCAGCCACATCCGAACGCACGGCCCTGCCGGAGTCTCCTCCAACTCCCCGGCAACCCCGCCAGCGCGCTCCAGCTGGCCCCTGTCCTGCGGCCAAGACGCAGAACATGGCCAAGGTCAACGCTACCGTTCTGCAGGGGAGCCGCTCAATGGAACTCAGACACGGTCCTGGAAAGCCCTCCGGTCAGAGACGCGCTCTCCGGAAGCATGTTTTGTCTGACAGCTTACCCTGGCCAACCAACTCTGACCCCACAGCAGCGGTGGTTATCCCGGCGTGCAAACACGGGGTGCTCCTAACGAAGTGCGGCCGTCCACAGGCCTCCTCTCCCTCCCGCAGGCCCCGGCTGCCCCCCTCTTCCCTCTACGTCCTGTGGGCATGATCCTCCTGTGGGCCTGCAGGAGCCAGGGGCTCGGACAACTCTGGAACCCGGGAAACTCCGAGACACAGGGCATCGAGGCTGGAGCTCAGGTGCTGGGAGGGGTTACATACATGACCTTGGACGCAGTCTCTTTATTCACAGAACATGGAGAACAGTGTCTACCTCAAAGGATCAACCCGAAGTGGATGCGAGTGCCTCAGCTCATAAAGCACTGCTCAGCACAGAGCTGTTCCCTGAACTAAGGTCATCTGAAATTATTCATACAACTAGTTGGTCATCATTAACCTTACCAAAAACTAGCCTTCACTCCAATTTTAGAAGTGAAGAGCAAGAACACCCAATTCTGCATTTGCTTTTAATTGTTAAACACAGAGCGTCCATTCTGTCCAGCAAGTGTCGTGCCTGTTGATGTTGCCGATGCTCCTCCCCTCAGCGTCCATCGCCCTGGTGCAGGAAGTGACTGCCTGGCCTTACTGGTCCTGACGTGCTCAGCACCCCACATGCGAGAGCACAGCGGCTCCTCTCCTCCTCCTGACCAGATGCCCCCACTTCAAAGGCAGATAAGCCGCGCCTTCGGTAAGAGCTCGGGACCTTACGGCTCCCGTGCCCACAGGTGGGCTCACACGGCTCTCCCTTCCTCCCCTCTTCTCCATCACTGCCCGCACGCCCCGCCGGCTAAGCCACACCGCAAGCCATGAGTGATGGCGGGTCGCTTTTGTCAAACGAGCTTACGTGGAGTGCTTCTGCCACTCGAAGGTACTTGGTCTCCTCGGTGGTCAGGCCCTTGTGGGGTGTGTAGCCAGCATCTCTCAGCCCTGCCTGCTGCTCAAAGCGCTGAATGCTCTCCTGGGTCTGTTCTGGGACAGAGGAGACGACAGTCATGCCCTCCCGTCACAGACGGGGGCAGAGAGCACAGATACCTGCTCTCCTCCCCAGAAGCAAGGGCCACACGGCCGCCCGAGGTTTCCCCGGACCAGCAGGAATCCGAACCCCACACACAGGCTGGAGAGCCAGAGGGAGCCTTCCCTCACACCACAAGGAAGAACAGAACCTCCAGGGAAGCTTCCACTTCCTGCTGTTGCACACTGAGCCCCTTTGTGTTAGAAAGGCAGCTTGGAGAGGCAGCTGGCATCCCCACACCATCTCCTGAGGCTCACCGCCGGCATGACCCACAAGGCCTTCTCCGGAGAGAAACGGGCCCGTTTTGCCTACATGGCACCGAGGTACCAATTCAATTCAAACCAGAGAACGTGCCTTGAACTAGTCAAGGTCTGCCGAGCCAGCTTTTCTCATGTGTCAAAGTGCCCCTCTCGGTGGCAGACACATGTGATCTGCTCCTACTGTAAGCAATAAGTCAGTTATGGGAGCATCGGAGATCTGCTTCCTGGCATGTTGGCAGTTTGGCTCAAATAAAGTCATGAACTTCTCTAATATATATATATAAGTTAATAAGTTATACCATGGAATGAATGATAGCTGAATTTTTTACTTTCTCTGGACACAACCTAAGACAGCCCACGCACAGGAATGTCGCAGCTGTGGACCAGAAGTCCTTTAGGACTCAGTCACTCCCCTTGGAAGGAACTGTTTTATTTCTATCAGAAACAGAGGCTCAGGAAAAAACCTCATGTATAAAGCTGTTTCCCTGTCTGACTGGGTAGTCACCTGAACATGTAAAAGGTGGGAAGGATTTAGTGCACCACAGCGCACCGCCCCGTCTTTGGAATGCAGCTGTTTAACAGTGTCAGACAGACAGCAGCCAAAGACGGTCCTGGCAGTGCTGGCGGGAAGGAAGGTATGGCCACCACAGCTACAGTCAGGTGGAAATGTGCCACCTCGGGGACAATCAGCGAGTGGCTGACAGCGGCGCTGTGGGGAGCTGGGACTCTGTGCCTGGGCAGGTGCCTCTCCCAGAGAAGCCGCTCCGCAGGGAGGAGGGCCCGCCAGAACCTTCTCCAGCTCACAAAGCACAAACAGTGGCTGCCAATCCAGATGGCGTGTTCCCATGTGAATGAGAGGACGTCCAAGGGCAGTTTGGACTTCTGGTTCTTGGGCGAGCTCTCGAGTGACTGCGCGGATAAAGGATGCCTCCCGGGTGAGAAACGAGGACTTCAGACCGCACAGCTGAGCCAACAAGAACCTCTGCGCCCTGTCCCTGGCAGAGGCTGCTGCTGCTGACAAGCAGGACTGTGTACCTAACGATTAATTGTTAACTTCCCACAGAACCAAACTTTAAAAATAATGCCAGGCTCATTAGGACCACAAAGCACACATCCTTAAAAATGAAGCTGAGGCAGCAAACTTGCCTTAAGGTCCAGAAAGAGGAACATCTTTGAACCACTTAAAAAAAAAAAAGAAAGAAAGAAAGAACCCTCCTCCACCTGCCAGCCAGACTCGCCACTCGTTTAGGAGACAGTCCTGACGAGAGCAGCAGGAATACACCTACACCAACGGGTGCCTAGATCTGGCAAATCTTCACCTCAGTGGAGCTTCCCTGGTGAGCTGGCACCTGTCGGGCACAGCCAGGGCAGGCCGAGGCCAGTGTGTCTGCAGAACCCGCACGCTCTTCCTCTTCCCACCCTCTTCCACGCTACCCTGAGGGTGCAGAGTGCTTACTTGTGATCAGAGAGCTCATGATGACGCGGGTGGCTTTAGCCTTCACCACCGGGACCTTGTCCACACTGTCAGTGGCCGAGGGCAGGGCCATGGCAGGGGAGGAGACACTGGCCTCTCCTTCCTCCACCTGTGCGAGAGGCAAGGAGGCACTGAGCAGAGCAGGGGTCACACCTCTTCGTCTCCCTCTGGGGAAGAAGTCACTGAAGCACCCTGAATCCGATATGTAAGGAAATCTATTTTGTCACCTCCCGATTAGATAAATATCATCCACAGTGGCAAGAGATAAAGACACTTCCCAGCCCATGTCTGTCCAAGAGGCTAGTGGGACCCACTGCTGCGCACTGAGCAGGACCAGGCCCTGCGCTGGCTCTGGCTTCACTCTTGGCTGCATCCTCAGTGCTGTCAGGCCTCAGAGCGCCAGGATTCCCTGCGTGGCCTGGTAAACAGCTCGCTGGGCCCACCCGCATAGGCCTGGGGTGGGTCTCAAGAACTCATGTTTCTAACCGATTCCCAAGTGACGTGGATGCTGCTGGTTCCCGAGACCACAACATCAGGACTGTGGCTCTCACAGTTCAAGGAATGGTCTTTTAAAATAAAAAACAGGCCAGTGTGGTTCAGTGGTTGAGCATCAACCTATGAATCAGGTCACAGGTTAGATTCCTGGTCAGAGCATATCCCGAGGTTGCAGGCTCGATCCCCAATAGGGGTTGTGCAGGAGGCAGCCGATCAACGATTCTCCCTTATCACTGATATTCTCTCTCTCTCCCTTCCCCTTGCTTGCTGAAATCAATAAATATATATTTTTAAAAATAAACAAATCAGACCAAAAAACTCTATGTAGCTCCTAATCTTTAACGTGAGAGCCAAGAGCTCACCACCTTCTGTCACTCCAACCCGATGCCATGCTCAGGACGAGCAGGGAGGAGGAATCTGGGTTCATGCTTTGTTCTCCGCTTCCCTAGAGGAGCTAAGGAAGTGGAAAGGAGGGGAGAAGCGTGGAAAGCTCTGTCCTGGTTACAAACGGGGACTGTGCTTTTCAGCTGTGGCCTCACTGGAGCAGAGGTGGGCCTCTGCCTCCCACGGGGAGATGGGACAGTGAGGAAGGAAAGAATGCGTGTGCCGAGTCCAGCCGAGCTGCCCTGCAGGAGCAGCTGTCCGGGCTGCAGCTGTCCCAGAGGGGCACCACGGCAAGCGGGAGGCCCCTCCTCTGCCGGGGCACGCAGCAGCCGTTACAAATGGACGGGTGTGCCACCTTGAAAGCACTGGCAGAGGCCCTGGAGCCACTGCTCCGGCACTCAGGCAGGCTGCCAGGGTCCTTCGCACCAGGACTGCCAGTCCTTTCTGCACATTCGTTTACTCCTAGCAACTAACTGGGTCAGACATGGGTACATAGCGGACAGGGCACTTCCCAGAGCTGCAGGGAGCTTTGGAGAAGGGGGCTCCCTGTGCTGAGTTAAGGGAAGGGTGAGGAGGCCCGTTAGAAAGGCATCCAATTCAGCTCTACCGAGCAGTCAGGCTGGGAGCAGGCGTCAGTGTCCCCTGCACACCTACTGTGTGTCAGATCTTTCACTCTTTTATTTAACCCCACCTCACCTCCATGGCAAAAGCATTCCTCTCTCAAGTGGAGACACTCACTCAGGCGTGAGGCTCTGTGCCCAAGGTCATTGCTAATAAATGGAACATTAAGGGGCGATTGGGGCTGGCAGCTGCAGTTTTCACCCATTGATGGCCGAGCGATCGGGGCTGCACTGGGTGCCAGCAGCAGGTCCAAGCGACTGGTGGGACCTGGGCGGGCGTGGGAGTGAAGAATTTTCAGTAACCACCAGAAGCAAGCCCTGCCTTGGTCTGGTGCCTGATCCACCATCCAGCTGCCGCCAAAGCCCATCATGCTTTGCACATGCCTCGTGGTGGTCAGCGCATGTCATAGCAGTTGTTCCACTTTTCCATCTATTTGCATTTTAGCCTTTTATCATATAGGAGGATGCTCACTATGTACTTCCTGTCAGGCCCTGAGCCGTCAGCAGCTCTAAGTTCAGTAAAGGTAGCTGCAGACTAAATGGCCTCATCTGAACTTGGCAGGCCTCGTTTATTATTAAGGAACAGGCCCGAGCAGGAAGTTCAGGCTTCAGTGACACGCCTGCCACGGAGGGGCTGAGAGCGCAGCCGGTGGGCCAAAGCGTATAGTGTTGGGAGTGGGAGCAAGGCCTGAGAAAGAGCGTGACAAAAACAAGGATAGCAGGAGTCCAGGAGAGAGCCAGCTGTTCCCACCCCCATCACTCCAGGACATTTTCTGGCACCTGCTCATGCCAGGGCCTCTGCGTGACACTCAGGCAGAGCACAAACTGGCACCGCTCCTGCCCGCAGAGCTAACGGAGGTGGTGAGAACGGAGGGCGTGGGGCAGGGCCTGCGGGACAGTGGCGAGGCGACAGTCGGATCAGGAGGAAAGTCCTTGCAGAGATGTCCTTAAAGGACACCACCTGTCGGGCAGGGGGAGCAGGGGGAAGAGGGAGAACAGGATGGGATGGAAACATTCCAGGCAATGAGTAGTGGAAGCGGAGACTTAGGCGTCAAATACCCTGGAAGTGCAAGAAACCTTGGTGACTTGCATGGTCAGATCACGGGGTAGCGGCCGACAGGAGCGGGTCATGCAGAGCCAGACTGTGGAGCTGCCATTTTTAATGCTGCGGCAAATGAGATGGTCTGGACAGAGGAGTCGCAGGCAGGAGAAGACATGGCCATTCTAGTTTGAATTAAAAAGGAAAAAAGGCCCACCGACTCCAGCTGAGGCACAGAGAACACATACAGGGACTGGAGGCGGCCAGACCGTGTGGGTGCCGGAGCCTCGGAGCTTCTGGAGCCGGGGAAGGAGCCGGAAGGCCGGGCTGCCAGGAGCAGGCGGCAGGGTCAGGTACCTTGGCGAGGTGCTGGTACTTGCGCTCTGGAATCACTGGCTTCCAGGGGATGCTGCCCATGTCCGACGGAGGAGGAGTCATGGGCGTAGGGTCCTCCAGGGCATCATCATAGCTGAATGCCCGGCGGCTCATCCCGATGGGCAGGGACATCTTGCCTAGAGGCCCACTAGGCTCAAGAGCTGAGAACAGAGACACCTGTCAGCGGGTTCAGCAACGGAGCATGCTCACAGCTTAAACCGCTCTGTAGGCAGGACCCGAAACACTCAGGGACACAGCAAGAAAAGCGAATCGTTCGGGAAAGGCATCTGTAGTGCTAACCCTGCCTGTGTGCCCGGCACCTGGACCCTCCTCCTGACCCACTCAGCAGCCCCAATCCCTTACTTAATTTAAACGACCTGAGCAAGGTCACACACTTCCAAGCGCAGCAAGTCATCCAAGTCCAATCCCGTCCGATTTCAAAGCTTGTGTCCTCAGGCCACGGAGCCTGCCCCACAGCACTCCCAACGCTCTCACTCGACACCGAGGCCATGCCGTTCTGATTCTGGTTTTGCAGACGCGGAAAGGCCCACAGGTAGTGATTTGCTCCAATCCACACAGCAGGCAGCCAGCTGGGGCTCGATTCAAACCCTCTGCCTCCCGGCCTCACACAGAAACAGCCGGGTTACAGGAAATGCTTCCAACACGCTGCCGGCGCCCGCTCACTCCCCACTCGCTCCGAGTGCTCTGCGTGATCTAAGAGCAGCGCCGAGGGCCAGCACAGAAACTGTTGACAACCGCCCTACGCTCACCCGCTGCTGCCAGCTGCTCCTGCCCTTCACCCGACCTGCCTGGCAGGAGGCCCCGCTGTGACGCAGCACCGCTCCCAGCTCTGCCAGGCCCGGGAGCAAAGGTCGCTGTTTCATACAGAACTAATGTCCACGTGCTGCCTTCCGAGTGACATTTTCCTGTGGCTAAAATTATAGGCACTCTCCAAAACATCAGCCTGTGTGGCACTAAGTCCAAAACGAGCAGACACGCCATTTAAACAGCAAGGGGACCAAGCAGCTACCATTATTATTGCTATTAACAAATAATAATTACCAATAAATCCCTAAAAACAGAAAGAGGATTAGTGGTTGCCAAGGACTGGAGGGGTTGGAGAAAGGGGGGAGGAATGGGTTTGAGGTGAAGATGTTCTGAAATTAGTGGCCACAGTTACACAAACACTAAATTATTCATTTTATTTTCTTATTAATTAATTTTTAAATTTTCTTTATTAAGGTATCACATATTTGTCCTCAACCCCCATTCCAATCCCCCACCCTCCCCACTCATGCCCCCTAAATTATTCATTTTAAATGGGTGAATTTGATGGTTTGTTAATTACCTCAATAAAAATAAGCCAATAGTATTACCAAATGCCCTTCCTTAACAGGCACTTACTCCCTCATCTTACCATATTCTCATCAAACAGAAATTCTTCCCATTTTCCAGCTCAGAAAACTGAGGCACAAAACTGAGTGACATCCAGCTAGCAGTGTGGGTGGGGCCGGAACACAGACCTCAGCCAGTGCTCACTCTACATGCAACACTCCATGCTCCCCACACGCCAAAGCGTTCACATGACGAGTGCAGCACGATGGTCTGGGATGGTCACAGCAGAACTTACGCTGATCACGAGAGCAATGAAAGACAAACTGAAACGCAAGCTGATGGAGTGGAAACTAGAGAGGATCCAGACTGGGAGATGGGGAAGAGTCCTACTGCTCCTCTTAACTTGGGAGCGATTTCAAAAACATCGTAAGACTCCCCCCAGCAGCCATCCCAATAGCCTTCCTAAAAACATTGATAAAGCCAGCTAATAATAAGAAAATTCCTAGAGACCCCCACATTTTCTGGGCACTAAATGCTTCATCACTAACTTTGACACATCTTCACGTATTTCATTTTTTAAACTTCACCGCAGCCCTGAGAGATAGGCAGTATCATCTATACTTCACTGACTACCTAAAATTGACTGCTTCAAATTTTGATTAAAAAATCACTGCCCCTCCCACTAAAATAGTCCAAGGTGGGACCGATGACTTCGGTAACCCAGAAATGACTGCCCTATAGAGACCCACGACTCATGAAAGGACTATTGTCTTTCCAGTTAGATTTTGGATTTGTTATCTTATTAACTACCCAGCCAGGTAGTTAATTGGTTAATAAGATAATGTTACTTATCTACCAGGCTGGGTAGTTAATAAGATAATATTTAAGTGATGCCAATCTATTAAATCTAAATACTGGCGACCCAGAGTAACCATCAATATGTGGTTCTGAAAACGTGGTTTCTGGCTGAGGACAAAATATGACTTCACCAAAAAGAACTGACTTTACCAAAAAGAATTAGGTTTACCAGGCACTTCTGATGGTCTCGAAGCCATTGAAAGACTGGATCCGGGGACTTTTTCTAGATAGATTTCAGAGCTGAGTCCCTGCCACCTAATGAAAATAACAAAAAGCATTTTCTTACAGGGAACACCAAAGCATAGCTCAGCGCTGTTCTTCTGACAGGCACACAAAGCACAGTTTTACGGCTTGTTGACAACACTGGACACAGAAATGAGCCAATGGGAGAGCAGCATGCCGAGGCAAAAATAAATAAATAAATAAAAATAAATAAAGTCAAAGATCTCACCACGCCTGTGGCTGATCTTAACACCTAAGACACGACAGAAACACGACGCCCGGTGAAAAGGTCACCTTACCGGAGTGCAGTGAGCTCAGGCGGCCGGAGAGATACTAACGAGGAACATTGTCCGGCTGCTGCGCGTTAGCTAAGTCGCTTGGGCAGGGTCCGTCCATTCCCGAGAGTCTAAGAACAACAAGCACACAGCAATGGGCCAGCCGTCAGCCTAATATTTATATGGGTTTTCACACAATTATCTCATGTGTGAACCCTTGCAGGAGTCCCGCAAAGCGGACATTATTTACCCCCAATTTAAAGAAGAAGAAAACGAAGCATCAGGAGGTAAGTGGTGTCCTGGGCCGCAGATGGGTGGCCCTTCTGCAGGACAGGCAGTTTCACCCCCAGTTTACCGGGGAGTTCAAACGAAGCCCCGAGAAAGCAGAGTTACTTGCTTTTCAATGGCTGCACGCCCCCTCTAATCCCACGGAGCTCAGAGAGCAAACTAAGTCAGTTCTTCATGAAAGAGCACCGCAGAGCCAACGTGCCGCCATCCTCCCGCGTTCGGACCAGATACACCCCCTTCCGCTCCGCGTCCCCCGCCCCGCAGAGCGCCGGCCTCTCCGCCCCAGGCCCAGGACCGCGTCTCCGGGCTGTGAACCGCCAGGTCTGACTCACCCCCACCCCAGCGAGCAGGGGGGCCGCGGAGGGAGGGCCGGGCCCGGCGGCCGCCGGCGGGGCGGTGGGAGCCCTCGGAGGCCAGGACCGGGCGGGGCGGGGGGCGGGTCCCGGGCCGGGCCGGCCGGCCGGAGCGGAGGCGAGGCCCCGCGCAGAACAGCGTCAGAGAGAAGGCCCAGTCCGGGGCCCAGGGCCGGGGGGAGGCGGAGGGAAGGACTCGGACCCAGGGCCTCCGCGGAGAGGCCGCGCCCCCCGGCCCGGCGGAGGATGGAGCCCAGGGAGGGCCCGGCCGGCCCACCTCCGTACCTGGGTGCCGCCCGGAGCTGCCGACAGCCCGTGCCCCGGCACTAGACCGGCTCCGAGGACCCACGTCTTTCCAGAGGTCGCGCTGCAGACGGGATCCAAGCCATGGCGCTGACGGGGGGCCGGGGGGGGGGGGGGTGTCAACCGCGACTTCGGGAACCGACCGGGGAGCCTAAGATGCCGGCAGAGCCGCCGCCTTCGTGATAAAGCCTCTCAAGTCACGCGAGACTTGGACCGGAAGACGCTCGGGGCATGCTGGGAGTTGTAGTCTACGATCGGAAAGGCACCCGGACCCCAGCTGCTCTTCTAAGAAATGAAATGAGCAGGGACCCTCTCCCAGCAAGAGCTGGGTTAGTCAGGGTTAAAACTAAAAAAGGGGGGCAAACCCCATCCGTCTCCCCTAGATAGGGTGGCCCGAATGTCATTTCCCTTTTAAAACACTAACGAAAGTTATGCCCTCTCAAATGTCACACCTGGAAGGAAGAAGTTTGTTTTCCTTGTAGGGTTCACAAACACGATAAAGCAACGTGCTTCTACCCCACAGTCCAAACCTGCCATTGAGGCTCATCTCTGGAGGGTTGTGGTTGGCTGGGGAGTAGGTCTCGTATTTAGATTTCAGCATTCACATACAGGTATGCATCACCAGTGATCACAGACAATGGTGTGGTGAAGGCCCCGGGTGGGGCAGGGGCTGGGAGGAGAAGAGTAAAAGGGGAGGGCGGAGATGTGGAATTGGGGGACACCTGTAATACTAACAACAATAAAATAAAATTAAAATTAAATAAAAAGATTTCAGCATTTGACACTTGCCAGGTCTACTGGGCAGGACTGAGAGGCTTTCACTCAGGCAACTTTAAACCTGAATGTCATTACCAGGCCACTCACCTGACTGCATCACACATTAAAGTCTTTTCTACATTTTAAAAGTAGCCCTAGCTGGTTTGGCTCAGTGGATAGAGCGTCCACCTGCAGATTGAAGAGTCCCAGGTTCGATTCCAGCCAAGGGCAAATGCCCAGGTTTTGGGCTCGATCCCCAGTAGGAGGTATACAAGAGCCAACCTATCAATGATTCTCATCATTGATGTTTCTATATCTCTCCCTTCCTCTCTGAAATCAATAAAGAAATATATAAAATAAATAAATAAATAAATAAATAGCCGAAACCGGTTTGGCTCAGTGGTAGAGCGTCGGCCTGTGGACTGAAAGGTCCCGGGTTCAATTCCGGTCAAGGGCATGTACCTTGGTTGCGGGCGCATCCCCGGTGGGGGGTGTGCAGGAGGCAGCTGGTCGATGTTTCTCTCTCATCGACGTTTCTAGCTCTCTCTCTCCCTTCCTCTCTGTAAAAAATCAATAAAATATATTAAATAAATAAATAAACAAACAAATAAATAATAAATAAATTTTAAAAGTAGCTTGTGAATAAATAAATTGTATCCTGGTGTGTGTGTGTGTGTGTGTGTTAATTTGGAACTTTTAAAATAGTATATGCCATCATTTTTAAAAAATATATTTTATTGGTTTTTTCCAGAGAGGAAGAGAGAGGGACAGAGAGTCAGAAACATCGATGAGAGAATCATCGATCAGCTGCCTCCTACACCCCCCCCCACCGGGGATGTGCCCCCCACCAACGTACATGCCCTTGACAGGAATTGAACCTGGAACCCTTCAGTCCGCAGGCTGACGCTCGATCCACTGAGCCACACCGGGCCTGGCAATATGCCATCATTTTTAAGCCTCCGTGGGAGCAAAGCTGACCCCTTGCCCCCCTCCATCAGCAGAACGAGTGCACACCACGCCCGTCAGAAGGGGAGGAAACAGCACTTCTGTGAACCAAGAACAGGCTCATCCTGTTTCATTCTCATCCTCAAATCAAAGACAGCTGAAGCCTTTCCTGGACATTGCTGACTCTCTGGCTTGAAACAACTTTATCTCTGACTTTCACAGCACTGATGTCTGAACTATGGCATGATCAAAGCAGGTAGTAGCCATGTGAGAAAATTGCTGTTTTCCACAAAGAGCACACTAACTATAAACTGTTTAAAAATATATATTTTATTGATTCTCCATAGAGAGGAAGGGAGGGGGATAGAGTCAAAAACATCGATGAGAGAGAATCATCGACCAGCTGCCTTCTGCACACCTCCTACTGGGTATGTGTCCGCAACCAAGGTACATGCCCTTGACCGGAATCGAACCTGGGACCTTTCAGTCCGTAGGCTGACGCTCTGTCTGCTGAGCCAAACCAATTAGGGCTAACTATAAACTTTTAACCATCACAATTTTATGCGGTTCTCCCCTTTAAATGGGATTATATATTTTTAATTGGGGAGCTTATTCATCTAAACCCTGGACTCCCTTCAAAGTTTCCATGCAAGTAAACTAGTTTTATTTTTTAAATATTTGTTATTGATTTCGGAGAGGAAGGGAGAGGGAGAGAGAAATATCAATGACGAGAATCATTCACTGGCTGCCTCTTGCCCGCCCCCTACTGGGGATCAAGCCCACAACATGAGGTGCTGCACTCCCCGTACTGGGAATCGGACCCCGACCTCCCCTAGTTCAGTGGTTGGCAAACTCATTAGTCAGCAGAGCCAAATATCAACCATACAAGGATTGACATTTCTTTGGAGAGCCACATTTTTTTAAACTTAAACTATTGACATATAGGTAGGTATATTGTTATTAACTGAATTAGGGTACTCCTTCAATCGCACGTGGTGTTTTGTGGAAGAGCCACACTCAAGGGGCCAAAGAGCCTCATGTGGCTCGAGAGCCGCAGTTTGCCAACCATGGCCTTAGTCCCTAAGTTGATGCTCAACCACTGAGCCCTCCAGCTGGGCTGGGTTAGCTTTCTAAGTGTCTGGCTGCAGAGTTAGGGAGGGTTCAGTCTGTCGTGACTGAATCCACAGAAACCAGGAAGGGTGCCTTGGGAGCTGCTTAAAGTCAGGACATCGCTCTGGGCTCCTGCGGTGGCTAGACGTTCCCTTCCACCCTCTTCTGTGCTTTTCCCTGACTCTGGTTTTGGTTCTTTATTATTATTACTATTATTTTTTAAATATATTTTATTGATTTTTTACAGAGAGAAAGGGAAAGAGATAGTTAGAAACATCATTGAGAGAGAAACATTGATCGGCTGCCTCCTGCACACCCCCCAATGGGGATGTGCCCGCAACCAAGGTACATGCCCTTGACCAGAACCTGTTACGGCTCTAAATTAGTTTTGAGCCTGAATTGTCTTTGTGTACTTCCTTGGGCATTTCATACTTTAGTAAACAAGGAGCCTCAAAAATCGACCAGGGCCTCGCCCATTTGGCTCAGTGGTTGACTCTGGCCAGGTTTGATTCTGGCCAAGGGCACATGCCCAGCTTGCAGGCTCAATCCCCAGTAGGGGGCGTGCAGGAAGCAGCCAATCAACGATTTTCTCTCATCATTGATGTTTCTAACTCTCCCTCTTTCTTCCTCTCTGAAATCAATAAAGAAATATATATATTTTTTAACCGAAACCGGTTTGGCTCAGGGGATAGAGCGTCGGCCTGCAGACTGAGAGGTCCTAGGTTCAATTCCGGTCAAGGGCATGTACCTTGGTTGCGGGCACATCCCCAGTAGGGAATGTGCAGGAGGCAGCTGGTCAATGTTTCTCTCTCATCAATGTTTCTAGCTCTCTATCCCTCTCCTTTCCTTTCTGCAAAAAATCAATGAAATATATTTTAAAAAATAAATATATATTTTTAAAAATCGACCAGGATCTCTCTTGCGTTCCACTTCATGGGGGAAGGGCCTCTCCCCTCTCTGGCCAGGCCCAGAGCTGGCACACCCGTCGGCAGACAGGAACCGGGTCACTAGGAAGGTAGCAAGAGTGGACATTGGCATTGACCTGGAAGCCCGCCCCCTTGTCATCAGCGATGGGCATTCCACCTGGCAGTGCTCAGGGACTGTCATCTCCGTGGCCCAATTGGCAGCTGAACGAACTAATACTTCCAAGGGGACCTTGGCAAAGGTATCTCCGCCAGGAAACAGCAGAGGTGAAATCCAAGCCCAAGACTACGTATCTACCCGACAGTTTGGCTGCTGGCTGTCCTTGGCCTCAGCTCCTCCACTTTTTTTTTTAGAAACATCATTGATGGGCTGCCTTCCTGGCAGCTACTTGGTATACTGGACAAAGCTCAACCACTTGAACCACACCGGCCAGGGCAGCTCCTCCACTTTTTTTCCCCCCTCCACTTTTTAAAATCCCCGGGGCTGTGGTCGGCAAACTGCGGCTCTCGAGCCAAAGGCAGCTCTTTGGCCCCTTGAGTGTGGCTCTTCCACAAAATACCTTAGCCTGGGAGAGTCTATTTTGAAGAAGTGGCGTTAGAAGAAGATTAAGTTTAAAAATTTTGGCTCTCAAAAGAAATGTCAATCGCTGTCCTGTTGACATTTGGCTCTGTGGACTCATGAGTTTGCAGACCACTTCCCTGGGGCAGCAGGTACCGTATTTTTCGGACCATAAGACACACTTTTTTCCCCCCAGAAGTGGGGGGAAAAAGTCCCTGCGTCTTATGGTCCAAATATAGCCTACACATATACTTTAAAAAAAAGTTTTTTTACTTGCCAGGCTCTGTGTGGTCTCTGTGTGCTTGCCCGGCTCTAAAATGGTTCTAAATCACATGTGTCAAACACAAGGCCCGCGGGCCAAATCCGTCCCGCCAGGCCTTGCAATGTGGCCCGCACCGCGCTGTCATCACTGCACTCCGCTGCGTTTCCATCACAATGACAGTTTATGACTGTTCAGTAAACCATTCGGCCCGCGATTTAGGCTGGATTTTAGATTTTGGCCCCTTCTCTGATTGAGTTCGACACCCCTATTCTAAATGCTGCTGTTTACAGGGTTGATTACACGTGTTTATGACTGTGATGTTGGGTTTTAATGCACATAAAATACTTTAGGACACTATTTGTTTCAGAATCTTTTTTTCTTCATTTCCCTTCTCTAAAAACTGGTGCGTCTTATGGTCTGGAGCGTCTTATGGTCCGAAAAATACGGTAGCTTTCCAAGGAAGAAGACTGGAAGTAACGTCTCCCTCTAGCGGTGAAGGGGGAGAAAGACTTCATTGCAGAGATTAAGGATGCTGGGCTAGAGACTGGATTGTCAGACCGTCCTTGCAAACCAACTTACCCTGGCCAGATAGGTCCGTTGGTTAAAGCCCGCACCCAATATGCAAAGTTTCAGGGCACATACAGGAACCAGCCTATGAATGCATACATAAGTGGAACAACAAATCTTCCTTATGTTCTCTCTCTAAAATCAATAAAATAAAAAAATTGTCTAAAAAATAAGCCCTGGCCAGTGTGGCTTAGTTGGTTGAGTGCCATCCCATGCACCAAAAGGTTTGGTTTCTGGTCAGGGCATACTAATACCCAGGTTGTGGGTTTTTTCCCCCATAGGGGAGCATATGCAGCTGATAGATGTTTCTCTCTCACATTGAAGTTTCTCTCTCTTTCCCTTCCTTCCTCTCTAAAAATCAATAAAATCATATATTTTTTTAAAAAAGAAAAAAAAAAAAAAAAGAAACCAACTTAATACTACAGATGATGCAATTAAGGTGCAGAGAACAGGGAATCGGGCCAATGTCACACAGCTAGTCTGGGGCAGTTGGTTGATAGAAATTGTGTTCCTGTATCTTACCTTTTGTCAGGCACTCTGCTGGGTGCCTGGGGTACCCTGGGACGGAGGACACAGTCCCTGTGTTGGGCTTAATTGTGTCCTACTGTGGATGGAAGGGGCCACACGCTGACCTGACCAGCTCAGGGGAGGCCTGCATGGCGGTCTTGTGAACTCAGAGACCTAAAGGAACCACAAAAGATGGTCTGAAATTAAACTTTAACTAAACGCAGTTGTGGTGGGTAGTCACCTCCTAGGCCGGTATCTTCCCTGACAAAGTCACCTTTACCTTAACTGAGCCCATCTGTCTTTTTGCATCTGTGATAACGTGCCCTTGAAAAGTCTGGGTAACTTGTAACTTCCCTTTTTCTGGAGCCCCTGGGGCACAACTAAATGTGCTGGGCCCCCGGACAGAGACCACAGATTCCTTCATTGTCATACTAACTGTCCCTGCACCCACCTAAGCCTGTGTCCATCATTTTACTTTTTGTCCAATCCCAGGGGTCCCCACCCATGCCCCCCTCGACCTGCTTTGCTTTATCCCACCTCCCTAATCTGTCACCAATGAGTTTCCTGTAATCCACCTATGTCCCTCCTCGTGCTGACCTGAGCATGTCAGGTCAGCATGTGGGTGGCCCCTTTTGTCCACATATCTATGTCCCCCTCTCTTTAATATACATATATATAGTCATTTGAAAACACTTTGGGTCGTTTTTCTCCCTCGGAAATAAATTCCCAGTGAGCACCTCGGTGCTCCTGAAAAAGCCAGTCCATCACCAATCAGACGGGCCCTGGAGCCATTTCCTCCCTGGGGTCTGAGGGGAACAGGTGGCTTGGACTCACAGGCACGCAGCACTGGGGTGCGCCCCGGCCTTCCCTCCTGGGGGGCCCTGTTTTACGGGGTGACCGGAGCGCGGGAGCTAAGCTCTGGGCGCACGGGAGGAGCTCGGTGGATGCTGATGTCCGCGGCCCCGGTCCTCCCGGCGCAGCCTCCGCTCCATCCCGCACGCGGCCGAGGGGGCGGAGGTCCCTGCGCCCCGGCCCGCGTCGCCCCCCAAGTCGCGCGTCCTGTCGCGACAGCAGAGGTGCATTGTGGGGCTTGTGGTGTGCAGCCGGTGGGTGGGTGGGCGCAGCGGCGCAGCGGGGCCATCTTCGGCGCCGGCCCGGCCTGTGCAGCGCCCCGCGCCCCGCGCCCCGCGCCCCGCGCCCCGCGCCCCGCGCCCCGCGCCCCGCGCCCCGCGCCCCGCGCCCCGCGCCCCGCGCCCCGCCCGATGGCGCCGCGGCCGCTGAGCCCCCTGGTGCTGGCGCTGGGCGGCGCGGCGGCCCTGCTGGGCTCGGCGCTCTTCCTGCTCTGGAAGGCCTACCGGGGGCGGCGCGCGGGCGGCGAGGGCTGGTGGGGCCTCCTCGACTGGGACGAGTGGGAGGTGAGTGCGGGGGCCGCCTCCCGCAGGCTCCGGCGGCAGCCGGGCCGTGCAGACCTGGGGGCCGGGGTGGGGGGGTGGGGGCTCTGGGCTGGGGGGCCCCTGGGCTTTGGGGGCGGCCTCCCCGCTGGCGGAGAGTGGGGGCCCCGCCGCGTGCAGCCCGTGCCGCCCGACGCCTGCGCAGAGCGCGCGGCCCGGGGATGTCGGGAGGCGCTGCGGGTCCCCGGACTCGGTCCCATCGACCTGGGACGGGGCCACCAGGGGCCGGGGGGGGGGGGGGGGGGTTCGGGATTCCTGCAGCCTGACTGTGCCCGCAGTCTGAGGACGAGGAGGACGAGGAGGACGAGGGGGACGAGGGGGACGAGGAGCCGGCGCTGGAGGAGCTGGAGGAGCTGGAGGAGCTGGAGCAGCGCGAGGTGCTGGTGCTGGGGCTGGACGGCGCCGGGAAGAGCACGTTCCTGCGGGTGCTGTCCGGGAAGAGGCCGCTGCAGGGCCACGTCCCCACCTGGGGCTTCAACTCCGTGCGGCTGCCCACCAGGAACTTCCAGGTGGACCTGCTGGAGAGTGAGCAGACCCCCCCTCCCACCACCACCACCACCACCACACACACACACACACACACACACACACACACACACACACACACGCTGCCTCCCCAGCACCTGATGGCACCCAGGCCGGGCCCTCTGCCTGGGGGTGGCTCCTAAATGCACACCTAAGCAGATCGCACCCCTGTAGGAAAGTCTTCCCGCGGGTCCGGGGCGCAGGGTGCAAAAGCGGCCTCCTGACACGGGGGCCCTTCATGAACAGGCAGCGCCAGCTTGGTCCTCCTGCCTGCGCCTCCCTCCAGCCGCAGCCCCTGTGCCTGACACGGTGCTAGCGGCTAGCTCTCTGTGTGCCAGTCATCCCCAGGCCCGTGCGCAGGGATGCTTCCCGGGAAAGGCGTCCTTAGGGGATCTTATCCTCGTGCGAGCACCATGGAGTTCACTTAGACACCTAGGACCGTGGTCGGCAAACCGTGGCTCGTGAGCCACAGGCGGCTCTTTGGTCCCCTGAGTGTGGCTCTTCCACAAAACACCGCGGCCTGGGCGAGTCTATGTTGAAGAAGTGGCGTGAGAAGAAGTTTTAAGTTTAAAAAATGTGGCTCTCCGAAGAAATGTCCATCGTTGTGCTGTGGATGTTTGGCTCTGTGGACGGATGAGTTTGCCGACCGCTGGGCTGGGTGGTGCAGACTGCTGCACAAGCCCGGACAGCATGGGGCTGTGCCGAGCACTGTAGGCAGTTGCAATGTGTTGTGCTCCGATGTCACCAGGCGATGGGAATTGTCCAGCCCCATTGGAATCTAACGGGACCACTGCCATACACGTGGTTCCGTATTGATCGGAATATGTGGTGCAGGACTGCACTTAATAAAATCCTCCCAGCAAGGCCGTGCAGCTGGAAAGAGTCAGTACCCTCACTGGGACATGGGGAAACTGAGGCCCAGCACTGTGGCTCTCGTTGCTAAGCACCATGCCCCACGGCTTGTTTCTGAAGGGTACTTGATGTTTTCTTTCTTGCTTCTGTCCTTGGCAAGCACCGTTCGCTCCGGCTGGAAAGCCATCTTCCCTCAAGGCTTACATCAAACATGATGTCCTGGGAAGCCTCCTCTGAGGCCCTTGCAGGTTGGGGGCTCTCCCTCGGGGCACCCCTGCTGCTGCAGTATTCACCCCATACCAGCCTCTGAGACACAGACAGGCCGGGAGAGCTTGTTGAGTGCTCAGAGAGGGTCTGAGCTGGCCCTGCCTCGGTGTTAGGCTTTTCGGGGTCTTGGGAGAGCAGTTCAGAGAGGGCAGCAGCCCTCAGCCACCTGTGCTCAGCCGCAGACTCCATGGAGGGGCAGGCAGACTGTCAGCCACAGGGCTCAGACCATAAAGCCTGGGGGGTTGGTTAAGTGCTAGGTAGCGGCTCAGACTCTGAGGGCCTGGCAGGGCCCAGTTCCTCTGATCCCAGGCACTTGCCTATTGGTCTGATCTGGCTACATCTTTCCTCCCTGATTGCAGCAAACATTGATACTCCCCTGGAACTGGGTCTTTTCAACAAGCTGTCCCCATCCCCCTCTTTTGTGCCAGGAGCACAGACAGCTCAAGTGGGGTTCTGCCCTTGTCAGGCGGAGATAGTGCCCAAGCTGTCCGCCAGCCCTGGGGGGAGGGGTTCGGTGTCTTCCTGTTACCCAAGGTCTGGCCAGTAACTGGCCTCCACAGGGCCTTTCAGCCTGGACTCAGCCGCAGGTCTCCATTGGAGACCTGGGCCTCTCGCCCCCCAGAACATGCCCTTCGCGTGGTCTCCTACGACGCCAGGCCTGGAACCCAGCTGAGGAGGGGTCTTTGATTTTCCCTCCCCCCACCGCTTATAGCCATTGAATTAGCTTAGTCCTGTCCGCTTTATTCTTGTCTGCCCGGATTCTGGTCTGTCCACTCCTCCCTCCTCCGCCACCGCCTGTCCTCTCAGTACAGCAGCCTCCTTGCTGGCCTTCCCGCTCTCCGCCTGTGCCCAGGGTAGCCAGTGGGGTCTTTAGATCGGGTCACTCTGAGAACCCGTCAGGGCCCCACAGCCCCCCCCCCCCGGCCTTCCAGGCCTGAGGCTCAGCCCCGGCCAGGGCCTGCTGTCCTGGCTTCCCTCTCCCTCCAGTGGTGCCTCAGGCACTGGCCACCTTCTCCCGAGTGCTCTTCCCTCTGCCTGGAATGTTCTCTCTGCCTCTTCATGGCTGCTTCCTCCTCATCAGCCCGGACTCAGCTCCATGCCATCTCCGTGGGGAGACTCCCAGACCTGCAATCCAGAGGCGCCCACAGCCACATTCACTTGTCCTGTTCTATTTCCTCCCTTTCTGAAATGCGCTCGTGTTCCTGCTGTCTGTCCCGAGTGCGGGGGAGCCCCATGAGAGCAGGCCCCTGCCGCCCCGCTCCCCGCACCCCGATCAGTGCTTGGCACCCGGTGAGCACTCAGTCAGTATTTGTTGAGTGCCTGCTGTGTGCCAGGCATTGTGCTGAGGGCTTCGGGGGTCTGAGCTGAAACAGAGAGAAACAGCTCTAACTTTCAGAGCTTAGAATCCACAAGGGTCAGAATTATAAGCAGAAACACCAGGCTGCAGGGGGACCAGTGGGGACTGTGCAGAGGGACAGAAGGAAAAGGAAGGCAGCCCACATTGGGGGCCTATCTGGGCGGCCACGTGGTAGGACTGACTATGGCATTTCTGGGGGAAGGAAGTGGGGTGACCAGATTGAACAAAAGGAGCTGAGTGGAGAATGGCTGTGCACAAGCAGGGCAGGGAGTCCCGGCTTCCGACCGCAGCTGCCTACCCAGGAGGAAGCCAGGAATCGGCAGGAGGCGAGGCGGCCAGGAGAAAGCAGTAGCGAGTACCGTTTATTGAGCACCTACTACCCCCCAGCCCTCAGCACAGAGCAGTGCGTGTGTGCCTTTGAGGTTGGCCGTGAGGTAAGGTCAGCAGGGAGGAGACTAATGTCTGAAGGGAGCAACTTGTCCAGGAGACCCCGCGCTCAGGCAGAACTAAACCCGGGTCTGATTGGCTCTGGAGCCTGGTCTTTCCCTTGTTCCTGTGGGTGAAGCTGCGGGAAGCTGGGTCAGGGTGGGGATGGGCTGTCTGTAGAGCCAGGGCCTAGGGAGGCTCTGAGCTGGCCCCTGGCCTCTCTGCAGTCGGTGGCAGCCAGAACATGCGCTTCTACTGGAGGGAGTTTGTGAACGAGGTGGACGTGCTGGTGTTCATGGTGGACTCGGCGGACCGGCTGCGGCTGCCCTGGGCCCGGCAGGAGCTGCACAGGCTGCTGGACAGGGACCCCGACCTGCCCGTCGTCGTGGTGGCCAACAAGCAGGTGAGGCCCCGGGAGTCTGGCCCAGGTCAGACCTGATCCACACGTGGCAGGGCTGGGTGGGCGCCCTGGGGAGGGACCCAGGCCCATGACCAGACCCCGGCGGAGAACCTGTCCCCACTCTGCCCCTGCTCCTTCCTCGCCCCATAACCCTGTCCTTCTGCCTCCCCTTCTGCCTCCCTGTCATTGGTCATAGAGGAATGAGAAGTCATTATCAAGTATCCACTAGATGCCAGGTGTGGCTTTGAATGTTTTCATATTATGCTTCTGCTGACCCTCCATGGTATGAAATGCTGGTCCCATTTTACAGACAGGGTATCTGAGGCTCAGAGAGGTTCTGTTATCAACCCAAGGTGGTTCACAGTAAAAAAATAGTGAAAGTGGGATATCTGACTCCAAAACCTGCGCCTTTTCACTCCGCTGTGTCCTTGCGACTTCTGGCTCTGGTCAGAGGAGCTAAAGCCGGGGAGGGAGGGGAGGTGGACAGAATGAGTTTAATAACTGGCACCTGGCCGAAACCGGTTTGGCTCAGTGGATAGAGCGTCGGCCTGCGGACTGAAAGGTCCCGGGTTCGATTCCGGTCAGGGGCATGTGCCTTGGTTGCGGGCACATCTCCGGGAGGGGACGTGCAAGAGGCAGCTGATCGATGACTCTCTCTCATCGATGTTTCTAACTCTACCTCTCTCCCTTCCTCTCTGTAAAAAAATAAAAAATAAAAAATAACTGGCACCTGTGTGCGTGCTCACAGTGCACCTGGCACCTGGCACCCGTGACCTCACATCAGTCCCACAAAACCCCACACAGGCCTTGCTGCTGTCCCCGAGTGCCCCAAGTTCTAGGTGGTAAGTGGCAAAGCCAGGCCTGGACCTCAGCTCGCCCTCAGATGGCCTGTTGTTAACCGCTGCACTCCACCTCCTGGGTGCCAGAGGTAGGTGCCTTGGGCCCAGCATCCTCCTGCCTCAAGTGCCATTCTGAGCACCAGGTGACCTGCCACCGTACGGAGTCCTAAAGTATTTCCTGTGGCCTGTGCCCACGTCCCTCAGTGCCATGGGACCTTTCCAACCTGTTTGGGGAGAGGCTTGCGTCTTTGACCTCAGATTCCTCCTGCCTATTGGGAAATACGTGACATTTATAAACAGGTGACTATACGTCCTGGCCTGCCTGGGACAGTGCCCATTTATACCTGTTAGTCTAGTATAATTATTGATAGTAACTACTTGGAATCTCAGAAACACCCCAGTTTGGACAGTGAATTACATCATCACCCTACATACAAACTGTAATTTATAGCAATTTTGGACCTACCGGGGACAACACTGAAGGTCCCAGCATTCTGTGAATTGCTCCAAGAAGAATCATTTTCCTCTTAAGCCAAGCTTGAAATTAAAACATCCCCTCACCAGCAAGCACTGTGGTGCTTGCTGGTGGTTGACTCTCCGGAAGTGATCACTGTAAGATCTCTCCACTGCTGAGTCAGGACACAGCCGATTCCTGCAGGGTCCTCAGCGTGGGCATCACACCCACCCGAGTGTGAATGTGGCTCTGCCCGTTCTGTTCCCTTGGCCATGACTTCGCCTCTGAGCCAATGTCCTCAAAAGTTGGTTTAAACTGAGAATTGAACAAAACTCAGTACCCATCACAGTGCCTGGTGCATAGGAAGTGCCGCTCCTAACTACAGCGGTTGGTGATGAAGAGGTCAGCACAGGGAAGACAGGGAAGAGGAAGGGTTTGGACCAAAGGGCCACTCTGGGAGCGTGGGCCCCAGGCTCCCTGCGGTAGCTCGGCTTTGCTCCCGGACGAGGCTGGGTGTCGGGAAACTCGGTGGTGTTTCGCCAGGACCTGAGCGAGGCCATGAGCCTGGTGGAGCTGCAGCAGGAGCTGGGTCTGCAGGCCGTCTACCGCCGGCGGGAGGTCTTCTTCCTGGGGACCAGCATCGCCCCTGTGGGACCCCGATCCGAAGACCGCGGCACCGTGCACATCTGGAAACTGCTCCTGGAGCTTCTCTCCTAGGCTGGCCCCTGGGAGCCCCCGTTCTGCTGCTCCTGCCCCTCCATCACCGGCCTGGGCCGGGGGCAGCAGCTGGTGGCTGCACGTCCCTCCCTCCCTGCCCTCATCAGGGCCGAGAACGACGCAGAAGCCTTCCTGGTGAGGTGGCCCTGGGGCTGCAGTGAGGTGAGGCGGCGGGTGGGCTCAGTGCTCCCCTCCCTGCAGGGCCTGGTGGCTGAGGAAAGTGCTCAGTCAGGCTGTTCAGTCCTGGCGACTTCATGCCCTCCTCGCAGACAGGACCTAGGCAGGGCCCAGTGAACCCCCGCTCTGCCCACCCATCTGGTTTGTGGCCTTGACCAGTCTCTTCCCCTCTGGCCCCGGGGCCATCATTTTAAAAGGAAGGCGATTTCTCTGTGTGTGTGTGTGTGTTTGCAAACTGAGCAATGCATTTCCCAGCATCAGAGAAAAGTGCAAGGACAGACCTGGAGATCCTGGTAAGGGTCTGCAATCTTCCCGCTTCCCCAAGCTGAGGCCTAGCCCACCCCCCTCATGACTGCAGAGTGAGTGGTCACCCTAATCAGAAACACTGAATTTCCCCCCCATACCCGGAGACAGAAGCTGCTGCTATTGTGTTAACTGTGCCAGCACCAGGTTTCCATAGCGGGGAGACTGGAGTGCCATTCCTGAGGAGACTGAAGACTCCGCCAGAGCTAGGCCTTGATGCAGAACTGCATTGTGATTATTTATTTATATAAGGAACAGGCCAAAGATTTAGCCTCTGTCTCTAGGTGCTGTTATCAGAACCCCAGACGACTGCCATGGGAGTCTGGATCTTTGAGGAAAATGCTAGAATCATTAATGGCGTGATAAGCTAGGCAGGTCAAGGAGCCAAAGCTGTAGCTCCCCCTGCCCTTTGACTGTAATGATACCAGGACGCTGATCCACATGAACTGTACCTCCATCAATGCCAGGTCCCTTCTGTGCGGATAACAGAAGACTCTGGGAAAGGAAATTTCAATCGTGTAAATCCAGGTAAAGAAATGGGACGTGGGGCCCAGCCAGCAGGGTGGCCTGGGGCACATCGCTCAGCCCTCCCTGGCCCGGGCAGTGTTGGCCAGAATTCCTGGTGTTCTCTCCAGTTCGTACCAGGATTCTCTTTCCAGCGACCGGCCAGTCAGGACCATTTTGTCTGCACACTTCTCTTTCATGCAGGCCAGAGGAGCCTTCTGTCTGTCAGGGTCACTGACCAACCAGTGGCCACAAATGGGCTATTTTTATCAATTCTGTTTGCTTTTCCATCGAGAACAGGTTCCGTGCCTTCCTTCCATTTGTTTACTTTGTGCTCAATCTTCAGCCGGCGCGAGAAGGGGGGGGGGGGGCGCAGAGCGAAGAGGACCTCACTTTGGGTTAATTTTCCGAATTAGGAAGTCTTGTTTGCTTTTATTTTAAACAATTAAGGAACGGCTTGGACTGCAGAGTAGCCTTTGAAACTTCTCTGACTTCTCACTTCTGTGTTCTGCAAACCCCACCCGGACCCCAGTGCTCGGAAGTTACCTTTGGAACCAGTGCTGGCGAGGGACCCTTTTCTCCCCCCCGAGCTCTGCCTGTGGCCTGTGAGTATGTCCCTCCCTGTGTACAATCTTTAAAGTCCCAGTAGGGAGAGGTGAACTCGAATAGAGTTCAGCTACATGCACATGAGGTACTTCTAAAGACCGCTTAGAACGAAAGATCCAGTGCTGCCAGAAGTCACACTGCTGAGGGCGCTGGAGGGCCAGCCCGCCACCACCCTGATGCTCACATGGAACACGGACGCTCGGTCTGCCTGTGCTGAGCCTCAGCAGGCCCGTGACGGACGCTGTGCTCCAGTGCGGGGCTGCTGGCCCGGGCTTGAAGCAGAGTGCCGCCGGGACCTGACTGAGCAAAGCAGAGCAGCAGGCTTCTTAGGAGCAGCTAGCTGCCTGGCCGGGTGACTGACTCGGGAGCCAAGTAAGTGCTTTGGGGAACCAGGCGTTACCTGGAGATTCATCGCAGCGAGGCTCCTGAGCGGCACTTCCCACCGCTGCCCTGACTCCAGCTCCTGGCCTGTCTACGCGTGGGAACAGGTAGGAGGTGTCCGGGCCAACCTGGCCCAGAGCTGGCACGTGGATAGTCCGGCCAAGAGGGCTCTTAGGCTGCCGGGACCACCACGTTGGACTGACTGCCCATCCCAAGAAGCCTCTCGCACCTCTCGGTGCCCACAGCTGCCCAGCGTGAGCTCGTGCTGATGGGCGGAGTCAGTCCTCACTGCGCCCCTCCGCCACCCTCTGCGGAAGTTCTGGTGAACATCTAACTGGCCTGCGTGCCTGAAGCATCGGGTTCTCTACGAAACCTTCCCACCTGCCTTTGGGAAACTTTGTTTGTATGTAGTTTAGTAGCAACTGCCAACATCTCGCACCAGCTGCTGACGCTCGCCTGTGGTGTGTCCTCACGCAGTGCCTGACCTGGAAGCGCTGCCTCGTGCGTGCTCTCTGCTCACATCCTTTCTAGCAGCTCTGAAAAGGGACCCTGACTTTTCCTCATCTGCCCCCAGGGCACGGGGCTCCAAGGGACAAGGGGAGGTTTGCCATCGAAGATCTGGAAGCAGAGGGCCTTGCTGCCTGCCTGTGCCTCGCACCCAGACCACAGGCCCAGGGCAGACAGCGGGTGGAGGGCTGGCGGTGTGTGAGGTACTCAATAAATGCCAAAAACGTGTGCTTTCACTGGAGTCCTGATTCTGACTGGTGGGTGCTAGTCTCCTCGGGGACAGCTGCAGAGGGTGGTTCCAGAACACCTGCTGCGATCATCTGTCCAGTCCCAGGCCCGGGCCCTGCAGCACACAGGGTGGGAGGTGAGGAGCACCAGCTTGGTCTCTGCCTTGTGGGGAGTATCCGAACCTCCCGCTCCTGGCTCTGGCCTGTCAGCCGGGGGTGGAAATGGGAGCAGGGATATCTGAGCCTCTCTGTGCCCAAGGACAGGAGGAGGCCGCTCCCCCGCACTTACAGGCAAGTCCCTGCACTCTGGAAGGGTCTAGGGGGCGTCAAGCAGATGAAAAGGCAGCTCTGACTGGTGTGATTGCTGACAGGAAGTCAGGCATGGGGGCTGGAGGATATTCCCACAGCCCGGGGGCAGGGGATAGTAGTAGGGGAGGCCGCCTAAAATTGGCACTTAACTGGTAAAGAAACAAAGTCAGGGGCCAGGCTAGTCTCGGCCTGAGTTTGGGATGCTGTGAAGGACTAGTTATGAGGTCCAATAACGAAGGCCCTGGAGCTCTGCCATAGACCAGCTCCAAAGGCCTAGTGCTGTGCCCGTGGCCAGTCACTGCTGGGTCTGTGGCCTGAAGGGGGTCAGGGCGCCGCCTCAGAGCCAAGGGGGAGGAGCAAGCGGAAGCCCAGGCCGAGCCGTTGGGAAGACGCCTTCAATCCCCCACCCCTGATGCCCATCAAGCCCGCTTCCTTACATGTAAGATGAAGATAAAACCACACACCTCATGGTTTCATGTGAGATAATCTACGTAAAAATGAGCAGCAAGAAGAGACATTTAGGTGCTTGTAGAAGCCACAGGAACAGGAATTTTCCTGTTATTCACGGCCCGCAGACGGACAAAACGCCAGTGCCCACCCATACCTGACTGGGACCCCACTATGGAGCGGTCACCCCCTCATGCCGCCCACACCAGGCAGGCCTGGCCCCGAGAACAGGGTTTGGCCGGTCTCTAGCCACACACCCCTCCTTGCCTTAGGCCCCAGTTCCAGCTTCTCGGGTCCAGGAGGAGGCGCCAGCCTGGGGCAGGCACAAACCAGTCACTCCACCTCCATGGCATTCTTCGGCAAAGAATGAACGAAGGCTTCCCACTCGGCTGGGTAAAAGCGCTTATAGACGTTGATCTTATTCCGGATCTGCTTCGGGGTGTCTTGGTAGTAATTCTTCTCGTCCCGGGCCATAGCCTACGAAGGGAGAAGGGCCGCTTGAGGGAGGGACAGGCAAAGGCTCAATCCTAGCTCCACGGAGGGGGGCCGCCACTTCCTGGCCCGGAGGCTCAGCTTCTTCACCTCAAAAGCCACGGTGTACGTGGGGAAACGGAGGCAGAAGCCACAGGGCTAGCTGAGCAGCTCATGCTCCACCCACAGCCGACCCCACGAGGCATTTGGGAGGGGGGGAGGTCAGTGTAGACCGATCTTTCCATTTTTAACAGCAAGTAGTAAAAACCTCCCAAAACTAAAACAGCAAGTAGTTCAAGTTCTTTGTAAGTACCATGCAAGCACGCCAACCTGTGTGGGCCAGCCCGCCAGGCTGCCTCAGCTATTAGCACTGCCAGGAGGGCCCACCGCCAGTCTCTTCCCTGTTTCCACGCAGGAAAAGGCCCCAAGCAGGCACAGATCACAAACAGTCTGCGCGCTCACCTTGTAGTCCTCCCCGTGGCTCTCCACCATGTAGCGGACGTAGTCTATGAGGTCCCGGGACAGCGTGTTTCCCTTCTTCTCCGGGAGGCTGGCTTCTGCCTCCAGGTCTGGGGGAGAAGCCAGGAGACGGAATGAGGTGCTGCTCCCTGCCACCCCTCCGCCCAATCCCAAGCCCCAAGAGCTGCTCCGCCAGCCCCATGACGGGCTTGGCCTCCCTCCCCATATTTGGCCTGGAACCTCCCTCTTCAGCCCCTTGGGGCCCAGGCTCTGCCTGTGACACAATCACTTATCAGGGGCAACTCCCTGAAAGACAAGTCATCGCTCCGGGCCTCAGGTGGGCAAAAGGCAGGCAGCAAACTTACAGCTTCACTGAGTGCCAGGTCCTGGGACAGGTGGAGGTCCGTGGGCCAGGGCTCCCTGCCAGCGGCACAACAGCCCCTTTTCTTAACGAGCTATAGCAGGTCCCGACAAATGAGAACTAGGGTCCAGGCTGGGCCCAGGCACTCTGTCCACTGGAGGAAAACGCCAAGCTGTGGAGCCAATAATGGCTTTGCTTGTAACATAGCTAGGCAAACACTCCCTATTTCTCATCTCTAAAGGGAGGAAAATATAAATAGCTCACTGAAATGAGGTGGTCAAGTCTTACCCAGATTTAAGTGCTAAAACTGCTTATAGTAAAAAATTTTACTATAATCACACAATTTTACATATGCAATCCAATGCAGTACTTACGAGAATCAGTGAGATATACTGGATAGTACCTCAAGCAATTCTGTATCAAATGTCTGGCCATTCAAATCCTACATTCAAAGCTATTAAAAACCTCAGACAGGTGAGCCCTGGCCAGTGTGGCTCAGTGGTTGAAGGTTCGATTCCTGGTCAAGAGCATGTCTCAGGGTTGCGGGTTCGCTCCTGGCCCCAGTCGGTGTGCATGCAGGAAGCAATCAGTCAGTATGTCTCTCTCACATTGATGTTTCCCTCTCTCTTCTCCCTCTCCCCCTGCCCATCTTAAATGAAAAAATATCCTCAGGTGAGGATTAACAAAAAATCCCAAAAAAAACCTCAGACAAGTAATAGGAAGGGTGGGTAGAGCATTCCAGAGGATTCTGTCTTCCCTGCAGAATTTACTGTGTTTTAAATATTCAGTTTCTGTGACCTTTATGAACATGAAATTGATTGGTCATTGGGAAGATTAAATAAGATGGTGAAATCTCTAAAAATCTGTTCATCCTTAAATTCAGGAGAAGCTGCACTATGTGCCTGAGACCTAATGGGATTCTCTTCTGACCTCTCAGGCACCTGGCTCATCCTCCCTGAACATTTCCGCCCTCACTTCACACACCTGAGTTTAGCCAGCAGACCACACGCCCCAGCGGGAGACACAGCCCTAACTGTGTGAGCCCTGGGCCAGCTCCCTTCTTCCCTCTGACCCTGCTTTCTCCTCCTGCCTTCTCCAGACCTGACCAGGCTGGATGGTAACCCAGAGGAATGAGGCCAGCACCCACCGCTCAGCACATAGGGCTTCCGGATGAGCTCCTGACGTCTCTCGCCTACGTCCACCTCCATGGCCTTGACCTGCAGAGAACAGAGCCAGGGAGACCAGTAGATGAAGGAAGGATCCTGGATGAGAGAAACTTCCAGAGGCTCCTGCCCACCCCAATGCCACGGCATGGCCCGTAAGAACCGCTGCACAAGGTTAGGCAGGAATAGACGAAAACGAGAACCAATGCCCTGGAGGTTTCATGATCCTCCCGAGACCCAAGCAAGCAATTCATCTTTCTGCGCCTGTGAAATGGGCACAGGGACCCTGTCTGCCTCGCTTTGTGGGATGACGGTCCAGTGGAATGTCACAGTGACGGAGATGTCAGATCTCTCTGGCGAGGAGCCACCGACCGTGCTTGGCTTCAGCACCAGTTTCCTCTGGCATGAAGGGGTACAAAGAAACCTGCCAAAGGCGTCGGGACCAATTCAATCAGTAAACCCACTTACTAGGTTAACTACTTATTGCATTTTGTTAGGGGAAAGAGATAAATATATAATACTCCACCAAGTGCTATAAATTAAAGCAGGGCAGACGTTAGTGAGTGGGGGTTGGGGGGGAGTGCTATTTTTTTAAAGGGCTGGCCCAGAAAATCCTTACTTGGAAGAAATGGGTCCTAGGAGATGCCTCAGACCAAGGATAGTTTTGGATGTCTCGGGGGAGGTTGTAAGGAAAGTAGGGGCAGAAAAAGATAAATTCTGGAGCATACTATGGAGATGCCAAAGGACACAAGTTAATTTCAGAAGATAAACAGTAAGTGGCGAAGCTCCAACCCAGGCCCGGTGTGTGCTGGGGAGCTGGGGAGGGAGGGAGAGGCAGGGAAAGGAGCCTCGGCCATCGGGGAAGGCGGCCGAGTCGGCTGCGGGGGTGGCAAACCGGGAAGGACGCGGGGGAGGCGCCGGGCGGGCGTTCGGAACCCGGCTCGCTGCGGCGGGGCGCCGGGCAGTACCTTTCTCTTGCGCAGGGGCACCGCCTTGTTGGGGTCCATAGCCAGCCCCATCTCGGCCAGGTTCTGCCGCACGGACTTGGCGTGGTCCCAGGCATGTCGGATGTGGGAGCTGCGGGGAGAGAGGGAGAGCGTGAAACTGTCACCGCGCCGGCCGCGCCCGCCGGGCCCGCGGCCTCCCGAACCCCCGGCCCCTCACCACTCGATCCGCGGGGCGGCCTTCCGCCGAGCGGTCCGGTTCAAACGCTTCCGGTTAACACTGTAACCGAACTTCTGCCTCCGGGTCTTCCCCTTGGCCTTGGGCATCGCGCCGACCACCGCTCAGGCGGTTCAGACTCGGCGCCTCTCGCTCCCAGAACCTCGTGCAGCGGTGCGGGGGCTCCTTCCGGAGTCTGCGCGCAGGGTTTCTGGGAAATGTAGTCCTTCCCGGAGCAGTACGGCGCTCTTACTACAACTCCCAGAATGCAACGAGAAATTGCGCCTGCGTACAATGCTCAGCAAATTCCTCCCCCCGCCCCTTTCATGACCAGGAGGCGGGGCTTAAGGTCCAGTTTTCTCTTCGCGCTGTTGCCTGGGACACCGCGTCTCCTGGCCACGTGACTCCCGAGGCATCCTTGGAACCTGCGCAGCGCCCACTAGCACCTTTGCAGCTAATTCTCCAGTCTGCACCGTTCTTTCCTCGGTGCCACAAAGCTGGCTCCTCCCTCCTGGCAGGCGGTGCTTGACCTCGTATGACCCCCTCCCTCTGGGCCCCATCCCTTGCCCAGGTACAGAGTAAAGGGGAGCTGGACCCTGCTGGTGTCCAGTCTTTAAGGCCAGCGCGGCCTGGCCACCCTCTGAGTCTAGGAGGAAAGACACGCTCTGCATGGTTATGGCAGGTGGAGCGCCTGCTTAGGCTCAGGAATGCCAAGGGGCAGTCTGGTCTCTCTTCCTCACCGCTGTCTGATTCCTGCAAGGCCCTCCGTGACAGCGACGTCACCGGGCCCAGGTTTGCGCACAAGCACCATTGCAGGCAGGCGCAGAGGGTAAACTGAGGATCGACGTCATTCCCTGGGCAGGGACCCTGTGCGCAAGCCCCCTCTCTGGGGGGGTGCTCCAGGCCCGTTGCCCAGCGCCTGGCACACGGTGGGCTCTCCACCTTTCTCGAATGAAGAGCCGCACCTGTTAGCGTGTGCGTCACCGGCGGAGAAGGCTCCGGGGACCACGGGGCCGCTCCGGCTCGGCCGCGGTGCGCGCGTCTCGGCGCTGAGTCAGAGCCGCAGGCGCAGCCGGGAGGGGAGGGGGCGCGGGCTGCGGAGCGGAGGGAGATCGCGGGGAGCCGAGGGAGCGGGAGGGGAGGGGGGCGCGGGAGGGGGCCCTGAGCCGCTGACGTGCGCGGGGGTCGGTGTGGCCGGCGGCGGCGGCGGCGGCGCGCAGCGGCTCTGGGTCCCCGGCGAGGACGCGCCCGCACCTCCCGCACCTCCCCGCGCCCCGCGCCCCGCGGAGAGGCCGCCGGCGCGGAGTCCAGCCGCGTCCTCTCCAGCTCCTGCCGCTCCCGGAGCCGCCATGGCCCCGGCCCTCCGGCTGCGCGCCAGCCGCGTCCTCTGGATCGCCTGCGCCCTGCACCTGGCCCCCGCGGCGGTGGCCGCAGGTAAGGCGCCCGGGGCCGCCACCGGCTCCCCGAGCCCCGCGCCCGGGGCCGTGCGGGAGCCTGGGCTGCCGCACCCCCCACGCCCGTGCTGCGGAGGGACCCCACCGGCTGGGTGCCGGAAACCCTCTCCTCTCCCCCTCCCCAAAGACGTCTCCCCACTGGAGGGGACCCCCTCGCCCCCCGCTTTTTGCTGTCACGCATCTGGGCCCTGTGCTGCCCTCAGAACGGTGCACGGTAACCGCGAATCCCACCCGATGCTGGGGACCTGGCAGCCGATGGGGGTGGGGGCGGTGCGGGAAGGGGGGCTGGTATGTGCGGGGTCAGCCATCACGTTACAGCCCCCGGGGGACCAGCCAGGCTGCCCGCGGAGCAGCAGTCTCTGCTGTAAAACGTCTCCTCATCCGGAGAGCCCTGCGCCCTATCTGTGTTGGATTGCGGGGAGGGATGCGATTTCAAAGCCCAGCCTCCCCCTTCCTCTCTATATTTCCAAATATTTCCAAAATGGACCCCGGGTACGTTCCGCAGGGCCCACCCCATGCCCCTGGTCCCTCCCCTACCATCTACTCCCCTCCCTTCCCCCCTCCCCTGGCCCCCGCCACCCCCTCACCTCCCGCCCCCCTTTCTGGAAAGTCTGCACCACATTTTCGTATTCATTTTTGCAGAAAAAAAGGATTGTCCAGGCTGGAGAGCTGCGGGGGAACAGTTGGGATTTGGACGGTTATGGGAGGGGATGTTAAATATTACCTAACAATTTCATTCACACACCCCCCCCCCCACACACACACACAATTTTAAAGAATGGGAGAGAGAGGAAGGCAATTCCGTGCAACACAAGCCACAGGTAAAACCAGAACTTGGACCTCAGCGATGGAATAAGAGAATTCTGTACGTGGCCAGGATCACCTGCCCCCCCTGGAGGTGCAGAAAGCAATGTCCTCCTGTCCACGGGTTTACCTGTCAGATCAATGTGGCCTAAATGACAAAAAAAAAGGGGGGGGGGAATTATTTGCAAGTCCTGTGTGGTTCCCAGACTGGCCTACTGCACCCACATATGGTCCAAACAGCTGGAATGGGGTGGGGGAAACCCGCGGGGACACATAGAGGCTCGGATGCCGGTCCACCGGCCTGGGGTTCCTGCACCAGGGGAGGAGTCAGAAGTCTGTGCCCTGGACCGTCAAAGAGTTACCCAGGCGTCACAGGTGCCCAGAGTGCACTGCGAAAGGCTGATGTAGCCATATTCTAGAATGTTCAGGGCTCCACACACTTTTGCCAGAGAAAGGTGTATGCTCCTAGGGCTTGCTGGTGGGTGGGTGTTGCTTTGTGGCAGTTACTGCGTGGCCTTCTCCCGTGGCCCTGCCAGCTCTGGGTCTCTCAGGACCCTCTGGTGCCCGCTAAGCCAAGCCTTCAGGGCTCTCCCTGGGGCTCTCAAACTGGCAAAGATAGAATTCGATGGGTGGGGTACCAGGACCTGAGCTTGGTTCCTCCAGGCAAGCCTTCGTGGTTCCTTCCCGCCTGGGTGTCCTGGAGCCTTCCCAGAGCCCTCAGGCAGAGGGACGGCATCACGGGAGCCGTGAAACACCTGCTTTAAGAAATGCTCCATGTCGGGCCTCAGACTGAAGGGTCAAGGACGTATCTCCATGGCAGATTCCATCCCTGGCGCTGGCCAGGGCGTGAGTGTGTGCAGGAGGCAACCCATAGATGTGTGTCTCTCACAGGGTGTTTCTCTCTCTCTGACTCTCCCCTTCTCTTCCACACTCTCTCTCTAAAAAAAAAAAAAAAAGAAAGAAAAGAAAAGAAAAGGAAAGGAAAGGAAAAGAAAAGAAAAGAAAAATGTTCTCTGGTGAGGGTTAACAGCAGCAACAAAATGCGTAAGAAAAAGTGCCCTTGGAGGCATTTGTGTCTGCACAGGTAGGGGTCTCCCAGGAGCGGTTCCAGGGTCCGCCACAATGTCTGCTGTAGGCACAGCCCCTCCCTCCCGTCCCTCCTCCCAGCTGAGCCCGCCCTCCCGATTCCATTGCCCTGGCAACGGATCTGCGTCTGGGTGCTGACATACGCAGTGACGCACGCTGTCCCTGCAGATGCTGGATGGCCATTCACAGGCAGCCAGCCCCACGTCCCTGCCGCCCGCCAGCCCTGCTCCCCCCCATGCTCCTTGCCTGGGGGTGGGCAGGAGCCAGAGGGTGAAGGAGGGGATGGTCTCTTACCCGAGCACCCCTTGTCTGCGCAGGCCAGCCAGCGGGAGGGAGAGATCTCAGCCGGTTCTGCTCCCTGACCACAGGGAGTGGGGTGATCCCAGGGTGCTCAGGGTCCCTCCATGGAAAACACGTCCCTTACCTTCTGGGGGCAGCTTCTGCCACAGCATCTGGAAACCCCTCTCGGGGACATGGGGGGGGGGCATTCTGTTTGCCGTGCACCAGCCCAAGAGAGCGGGCAGCGGTGGGCACTCCTCAGCAGCGGCTGCCAGGGTTCCTCCTCCGGCGGCCGGCAGTCCCCTCTCATGGCTGAGATGCAAGGCCAGGCGGGCCAGGCCCGTGCCATGCACACGCTCTGGAAGGTAAGTCTGGGACACTGGGAAGAGCATGTGATTTGGAGTCCGCCAGGCCCCGGTTTGAGTCCCAGCTTGACAATGAACTAGCCGTAGGACTCTCGGGCGAGTCAGGTGAGCTGCCTGGGCCTCAGTTTCTCCCCCGGTCAAGTAGAGTAACAGAAGCCAGCCCAGAGGGTGGCCGTGCTGTTCCTGCCACGTCCCCTCCTCCCCCGCTTGCTTCCCCAAACGCAGTTTGTGTTTCTGGGCTCCTAGGCCTGTACGAGCTGCGCCTCGTCTCGGACGGCCCCGTCACCACGGGGGCGGAGGTGAAGGTCACGGCCAGCCTGGAGGCCAAGGACAACGGCAGCCTGGTCCTGCCCGCCGGCTCGCGCGCCTTCCGCTTCCACTGGGTGCACAGCCCGCTGCTGCTCACGGGGAAGACGGACGAGGCTTTCCGGTCCTCCATCCGCGCCGTGGGCTCCGTGCCCGGGGACTTCCCCGTCTCCGTGTGGGTCACCGCCGCCGACTGCCACGCGTGCAAGCCGGTGGCGCGGAGCCTGGTCGTCCTCTCCTTCACAGGTGGGGCCTCCTGTCGGCTCAGCTGCCTGCAGACGCGGGTGCAGCGGGGCGGGGCGTCCAGCCTGGCTGTAACGACAGACACGCAGACTAGACCCCTGACTCCTCTGCGGCCAGTTCACAAAGGCCCCGCCCGGCCCTCATGGCTCCGGGGTTGCGTGTCGACCTGTGAACCAGGAGGTCACAGTTCCATCCCAGTCAGGGTACAGGCCCCGGTTTTGGGCTCAATCCCCAGAGTGGAAGGCAGCCAGTCCATGATTCTCTCTTATCATTGAGGTTTCTCTCTCTCCCTCTGTCTTTGAAATCCATAAAAATATGTTAAAAAACAAAACAGAAACGAAGGATCAGAAGAGGGTAATGCCCGCCGCTGGCAGGGCCGTGCTGAAACCGGCACTCAGAGCGCCTGCTACTCCTGGGGCCGGAGTGAACGAAGCCCCATGGACAGCAGCGGGTCAGCATGTAAACGCTATTCTACATCCGGCCCGCTCATTTCCATTCTCTCTCCTCCCCCGCCCTCCCTCCCCCAGAAGGGCCCTGCTCCTGGAATTCACAATCTCTTCAATAACCTGCCTTCAGGAAACAGCCCCCGTGTGGGCGATGCTGTATGCACAGGGGTGTTCATGGCAGTGGTGTTCATAATGGGAGAGAGAGACAAGCCAAGAATTCAGCCATGAGGGGGATGGTTCAGTATACTGACATATTTTCTTAACATATGTTTTTATTGATTTTTCACAGAGAGGAAGGGAGAGGGATAGACAGAAACATGGATGAGAGAGAAACATCGATCAGCCGCCTCCTGACCGGCATTGAACCTGGGACCCTTTGGTCCACAGTCTGACGCTCTATGCACTGAGCCAAACCAGTCAGAGCAATATACTGACATATTTTGTGTAATGAACAATAATGACCTTTACATTGATTGAGTTTGGAGTTTGTAATGTCCTGGGAGGACACTCATGCTTGTAAAATTTTATTTATTTATTTATTTATTTATTTATTTATTTATTTATAAACATATTTTTATTGATTTCAGAGAGGAAGAAGAAGGAGAGAGAGAGAGAGAGAGAGAGAGAGAGAGAGAGAGAGAGAGAGACATCAATGATGAGAGAGAATCATGGGTCGGCTGCCTCCTGCATGCCCCCACTGGGGGCCGATGTGCCTTTGACTGGAATCAAACCTGGGACCCCTCAGTCCCCAGGCCGACACTCTATCCACTGAGCCAAACCATCAAGGGCCTTGTAAAATTTTAAAGAGCAAAACAACTGGTGTGGCTCAAGGGTTGAACATCGATCTCTGAACCAGGAGGTCATGGTTCAGTTTTTGGTCAGGGCACATGCTGGGGTTGTGGGTTCGATCCCCAGTAGGGGGAGTGCAGGAGGCAGCTGATCAATGATTCTTTCTCATCACTGATATTTCTATCCCTCTGTCCCTCTCCTCTCCTCCTGAAATCAATAGAAATATGTTTTTAAAAAAGCAAAACAAAATTTTATAACCAGTTTGATCTGCTGTGTTTAATATAGATATACACTTGCGCACTCAAAATGTGTGTGAGTGATAAGAATTTTCATTCTCCTTTTCAGCATTTTCCAAATGAGCACCATTGAGCTCACCTTACTCTTTGGCTTTATGCTGGAGGAAAAAAAAAAAAATCAGCTCTTCCATTGTTTTTAGAGGACACAGCACAGAGGTCCCCCAGACCATGGTGAGGTGCTCCGTAGAACGGCTCATTCTTTTTTTCTTTAAAAAAAAAATATTGATTTTTTTACAGAGAGGAAGAGAGAGGGATAGAGAGCTAGAAACATCAATCAGCTACCTCCTGCACACTCCCTACTGGAGATGTGCCTGCAACCAAAGTACATGCCCTTGATCGGAATCGAACCTGGGACCTTTCAGTCCGCAGACCGACACTCTATCCACGGAGCCAAACCGGTTTCATTCTTTAAGGCCCATCTGATACTGTGAAGAACTTCCCAGAAGCCACTTCCTTCTCATTCTGGGCATCTTTTGTGCCAGAAAGGCCAGGGCCCTGTAGAAAGGGGTGTGGGCGGATGCTCTGCCCGTCCCCCTGGCTGTGGGTCTCCACGCTGTCCACACAGCGGGCGCCATGACTGGGGGGACGTGCGCCTTTGTGCGCAGTGACCGGCAGGTCCCCTCTCGCACCCCAGCTCTGACAGCCGGAAGGTCAGGTGTGTGTGTGTGTGTGTTGGGAGGGGGTGGCCGCTCTGCCTAGCGGCCCCTGGGGTCACTCCTGGCTCCATCCTCCCGACCCCTCCATGGACCCACCCTCCCTCGGTGGCCCTCTCTCCCAGAGTCCATCGTGGGGAAACTCGTCATCGCCCAGAATGAGTCCCTGCCCTGGCCCAGCAGCTACCGCTTCAAGATGGTCTTTAAAGCATCCTTCCTCCTCCATGACCCGAGCGACTTCTTCCGGAACGCCTCCTTTCTCTACAACTGGGACTTCGGAGACCGGTATGTCCGTGTCCCCTGGGCGCCCCGGCCCTGGCCCCCCGCTGGCCCGCGGTCCCCGCAGGGGGCCTGTCCCGTCCCGCCTCCACCCACTCGCTCTCTTGCATCGCACTCTTCCCTTGAGCCCTGCTCGGTGGCAAGCTTTGGGGTGCGTGGGGACCTGTGGGGAGTCTCCGGGGACCTCGTAGAGGGGGTCACTGGTGCCCCGAACAGCCCTGTGAGGAAGGCCAAGGTCGGCAGGGTTTCTCTCCATGTGGCTTCGGAGGGGCCTGTGCCGGCCTCCTTTCCCCCTCCTCCTCCTCCGCAAGCAAGCCAGGCTGCAGGGGCAGGTGGGGAGGGAGCCCAGGCAGCCCACAGGCGCCCCGAGTTCATGCAAAGGGGGGTGCTCAGTGGACACCCCTCGCCCACTGGAGTTCCCCCGAGCCCCTGGCCCCGAGTCCACGTGCTGAGCCTGTGATCCCCTGGGGCGAGGAGGGGGGTGGGGTGGGGAGGGCTCCTGAGCCTTCAATGAACCTGGGAAGCCTGTGGGCTCTGAGGGCTGATGTCCTGGGCGAGCCTGGCCCACATCTGTCCGCGAGGGACGCTGAGGTTTGGAAGGCGGTTGCCGAGGCGACAGGCCTGCCGATGAGGCCTGTCACGTGACTTCTTAGAGTCACTTCTGTCCCCTGTCTCCCCCCCCCCCCCCCCCGTCACCTCACAGCACCCAGATGGTGACGGAAGACCCCACCGTCTATTATAAACGCTCGATCATGGGCACCTTCACCGTGAAGCTCAAAGTGGTGGCCACATGGGAGCAGGCGGCGCCGGCGGCCGGGAAGGGCCTCGTGCAGAAGACGGGGCACTTCTCGGACTCGATGAAGCTGCAGGGTGGGTCCCGGGGGGTGGGGGTGGAGGGTGGGGGGCGGGGTGCAGGTTCCGTGCTTCTCGTTCCCCCCCTTGGCCGCCTCGGCCTCTGGCCCCCGGCACAAGGCACCGGGCAGAAACACCGAAACCCTGGCTTTGGCAAGAGGGCGCTCACGCAGCTGCGCCTGGGAGCCCCGAGACCTCTGACCTTGGGCACCAGGTCTCACGGGCCCTCTGCCTTTCAGAACACCTTCGGGACATCCAGGTCGTGGGGCCCAGTCAAATTGAAGCCTTCCAGGAGGTGACAATGACCTTGAAATTCATGGGGAGGTGAGTGAGCCCCAGAGTGCACTCTGTGACCTGTGGCCCCGCCGCTCTCCCCCCACAGACGTCCTGAGCCTGCTCCAGATCCCGAGGGGGGGCAAGTCTGGGGGCTCTTGGAAGGCTGGTGCTAACCGGCCCCTTGGCTGTGCCCCGGGAGAGCCGTGGGCACCGCTCCATTCTCAGGGTGCAGGGGAGAGGGCACTGGCCTTTCCGGCTGTCTGCAGGGTGGGCATCAGGGCAAAGGCCGATGAGCGAGGGTCCCCTTCACGAAAGGCCCTCTGTATGTGTCTCGGGCCCGCTTTCCAGCCCCCGGAAGCGAGCCGTCCTGGGGAGGACGGGGCTCAGCTCTTGGCAAGAGGGCATTCGGCTGAGTGTAGTGAGCGACAAGACAGGGAGAGGCCGGGAGTGCTTGCCCCAGCGGGGTGGGCAGAGCTGCCGGAGGGCAGCAGCCTGGGCTCAGCCCTCCAAGGGGAAGACCAGTTCCCGCCCCCATGGGACAGGCTGGAGGGAGGATGAGCGGAGTGGCGGAGGAGGACACACAATGGGGGTGGCTGCTGAGGCCTCAGGAGGCTGCGGGGCAGGGCAAGCACCTGGAGAATGGGCTGGAAAGCCAGGGCCTTGGCAGTCTGGTTCTCAAATGTGTGCGTTACGGGAGCCTGGGATTGTGCGAGATGGGACTCCTCCCCAGGCGTTCCTTAGACCTGCGCCTCCCCGCTCGGAGCCCAATCTCAACCCACCACAAGCCGACCTCCCCTTCCGGATCCTCCTCAGAGGCCACCTCCTCCGGGAGGCTCTCCCAGCACACCACACGCCTCACTGGGCATTCCCTCGGCCTCCCCCAGCGGCCCGGGCGGGCGGGCTGTTTGCCTCCTCGCGGCCTGGCATCCCTCGGGGTCCCCAGTCCGGAAGGGGTCCTGTCTGGAAAGGACATGGCATTCGTGGCCGCCTGGCCTTCCTGGGCGTGGTCTGTGCCCACACACTCCTCGCCCAGCCTTCTCTGAGCCGCGGCCCGCACTCCCCGCAGCCCCCCGCTGAACGTGTGCTGGAGGGTCCAGTTGGAGTGCTTCCCGCTGATGGAGGAGGACTGTCGCAGGGAGTCCGTGACCGGCACAGTCTACAACATGACTGTCATCCTCATGGACCCCGGGGACTACTGCATCAACATCCGGGGCCAGAACCCTGTCAGCATTACCTATGTGTACCACAGGGTCCAGGTGTGGTCCCCCTGTAAGTGACACCTCCTTCCTGCTCCTGCCATCAACAGCCAACCCCTCCAACCCTAGAATCACCGAGAACCTAACGATCACCCAATACCATTGGCCGCCTGCCCGTAACACCCCCCCCCCCCCGCCCCACCAACCTGCACCAGCACCACCACCAGCCAGCTCTAGCACCATCCATTCTAGGTGGTGCTTCCCTCTGGCCTGTCCCAGGGGGGTGCGGGGGGGGCGCCTGGTCTTCCCTAGGAGAGTCCTTGGAGGGCTGGGCCTTGGCTGCTGACCTCTGCACTCCGCCCACCGTTGTGGGGCAATGCCACCCTTGACCCCACCGCTAGCAGCAACAACAGCCAGCTCAGCACCACCGGCCCAGCTGGCCGGCACCGTCACCACATGCACTGCCGACACCTCCCAGCTCTGTACCTGCTGCTCCCATCTGCACTGCCATTAACACCCCTCCTGCCGGGCCCACGCCACTTGGACCAATGCCACCACGGCCGTGGCACCCCAGCGTCTCCGCTCTCTAGCTGCCACCGCCATTGTCACCAACGTCCCTTCCACGCTGCCAGTGCCACACATGTCCCCAACATGAACACGCCCACACGAAATGAGCCACCATGATCCCCAGCTCCTATTTCTCCCCATCTCCCCAGCACGTGACCTCTGTCATGATACTGTTGCCACGTGCAACTTGGTTTTTGTGAAATTCTGGATTTTCCTTTTGAAGTTTCCTAGTTGGGATGCATATACACAAGAACAAGGCTCTGGTGGGGTTAATATTCTCTCTTCTGTGGCCTTTTGAGAGTTAGCATTCAATACCAAATACTTGGGTTTGTGACCTCACCCTTTCTCATTCCCAGTCTTCCAGCCGGCTAGCTTTGCTTTCCCTTATCTCTATGCCATACTGACCTCCATGATGATGGGATTTATCATCTTCATGATCCTGAAGAATACTGGTCAACAGAAGGACGTGGTGGAGGTGGGTGCTAAGGAGGGTGGGGAGGTTGGACATCTAGGTCCTGAGAGGAGGAGGATGGAGAGGTTGTATGGAGAGACATGGGGGCAAGGCCAGAGGGCTTGCAAGGGTCTGGATCCAGGGCAAGACCCTGGGGCTGGGGGAGATGTACCCAAGAGACATGCATAGACCAGGCAAAATTCTTAATTTGGCTTCTTCCCATCTGACTTACCTCTTGCTTGGCAGCTGTGCCCAGGGGCTAGTAAGGGAGAGGGGCACTGAAAGAGGGAACCCCAGGAAGCAGAAAAGCCCAGGGCACAGTGGCGAGCTGGGCGGTGCCAGAAAGGTTTTTGTAGATGCTGCCACTAGGCAGCTGAGCTCGTAAGGCCACCTAATGAGGCTCCTGGTGGGTGGGTGGGTTTTGTTCATCATAGGTGTCTGACTTTGACTTTCCCCCCATGTCTGACAAGAACCCGGAGGCCCCCGTGTCTGACAAGGACCCGGAGCCCAAGAACCCGGACCCCCCCGTGTCTGACAAGAACCCGGAGCCCCTTACTGAGGCCAAGTGCTGCCCGGTGTGCTGCGTGCCCTTCCTGCAGGAGACCCCGTCTGAGTACCTGGAGGTCGCCCGAGAGAACCACGAGCTGCTGCCACCCCTCAATAAGTCTGTCAAAACGTTCACAGTGTGAGCACTCCCCGTCCAGCCTCCGCTTTAACTAACTGCCAACCCCACGCTTTCTGCAGGTGGTGCCTGCCACCCAGCAGGAGGGGTTCATGTGTGCGGAGCCCTCTGCCCTGGCCATCCGTCCATCTGCACAGTCCAGCTGCTGCCACAAGCCCCCTCAGTCACACTCCCCACCCATCTGTCCATCTGTCCAACCCAGCCACTGCTGTAAGCACCTCTCAAGTCCTCTCCACCCCTCACCTTTGAAGAGACTGGGTACCTTCTCTCTCCGGGTATGCTTGGCTGACCCTACCCGATCCTCCCATGTTGGCATGTCTGCTGGCCACGTGTGGTTCGAGCTTTCCTCCCCCAGGTACCCCTGTCTGGGTCAGAGACCTAGGAGGAAGGTCACAAACGATTAGGGATACATCCCAAAAGATCATGCATAGAGACAAGCACACACACACACACACACACACACACACACACACATACGTGCCACACAGATATCTCAGACGATCTTTGTATTGTTCAACCGGTTGCTGGGATGTACCCTGAATTAGAACGAAGATGAAATCTGACCCCCACTTGGCCCCAATAGCTCCTGGGCCTGGTCCGTCCCTTTGTGAACTGTGTCTGCAGCTACCAGGCCCCATTCTAAGGACTCCTGCTCCCTGCTTGCTTCCTGGGGGCTGGGAAGGGGCGGGGCTAATACTTGGTGAGAAGGAAGTGCTTCATAAAAGCACCTTCTTTCACGGAGGCCCTGTTCCCATCCACCGAGGAGAAGGCCTTGAAGCAAAAGAGAAATGGAGTGGGCGTGGACGTGGGAGGGAGGGGAAGGTGGTGTGGCCGCCCAGATGCCCCCAGAGGAGCCTTGAGAAGGAAGAGGCAGGACTGGACACAAGCCCAGGCCTCTCCCCTGCGAACCAGTGGCTGGGGCAGGCAGAGAAGAGGGAGGGAGCAGGTTATGGTACAGAGGAGAAGCACGAGGCCCCAGCCCACCGTGCAGGGGTGCCGGGAGCCACGTGGGCCTGTCTGGTGGGGGGAGGGCAGGGCGTGGGGGCCGCACTCTGTGGCTGTGATTGTTGGCTCTCAGACTTTGCACAGAAAACACACCCGTGCAGCTGGTCCTCTGAAACACCACCATTGTTACTGAATAAAGCTCGTGTGCTCTGACTATAACCACGCACCTGCTGGGAGGCCGAGGCGCTTTCTTTTCCACGCGCGGCGTCTGAGTGGTTCTTGGCCCAGGCAGGCTGTCCTGGCGTGTTCTCTGGTGACGTGGTCTGGATGGAGCTGCTGTCTGGGGCCTCAGGACCGGGTCAGTGATACTCAAACTGCTGCTCGGGCCGCATCCTGACGATGGTCTGATGAGGGTCTCTCCAAGGAGGAGGGCTGTCAAGGCGCCCTCTGGTGACCAGTGTGCAGCTGAGCCTTTGACCTTGATGACCTTAACACACACACCTCCCCCACCCCCTTCCAGCGCATCCCTGTGACTCTGGCTTCCCCAGGCTGAGCTCTGGCGATTCCCGTGCCAGATGCTCTTCCCTACAGGCGTCTCCCTCACCTTCTTCACTTTTTAAAAAAATATATATTTATTGAATTTTAACAGAGAGGAAGAGAGAGGGATAGAAAGCTAGAAACATCAATGAGAGGGAATCATTGATCAGCTGCCTCTTGCACACCCCTTACTGGGGATATGCCCGCAACCAAGGTACCTGCCCTTGACTGGAATCGAACCCGGGACCTTTTAGTCCGCAGGCAGATGCTCTATCCACTGAGCCAAATGGGTTTCGGCACCTTCTTCACTTCTGTTCCCGTGCCCCCGCCTCGGCGAGGCTGACCCAGCCCTCCTGCCTCCGATATCTTACAACCCCCGCCCTTAAAAGCGCGGGTCACCTTCTAACATCCTATTACTTTTACTAACTTACTTATCTCATCTGTCTCCTCCTGTAAAAGAAAAACTCCAAGAGCAAAGGCCTTTGCCTACTGCCCTCACTAGTCCTAGTTTCAGCACCTAGAACAGCGGTCGGCAAACCTATCTGTCCACAGGGCCAACTATCAACAGGACAACGATGGACATTTCTTTGGAGAGCCACATTTTTTAAACTTAATCTTCTTCTAACATAGGCTCGCCCAGGCCGTGGTATTTTGTGGAAGAGCCACACTCAAGGGGCCAAAGGCTCGAGGGCTGCAGTTTGCCGACCACAGACCTAGAACCATGCCTGGCACAAAGTAGGTGCTGGTGAAATATCACCAAGAAAAGGAGGGTGGAAAAGCCACCCCCCCCCAAGAGAAACTCATGTCCCCTCAATGTCTAGAACTCAAGAGAAGAAAGGGCACGTTCTAAGGAAAGGACCCCGTGTCTCCCCAGATTGTCCCGAAGGAAGCCCTGGTTTGGATCTTCTCTCCTGCACCCTGGAGAGAGGGACCATTGTGTGTGTGTGTGTGTGTGTGTGTGTGTGTGAGGGGGGGGGAGAGGGAGGGGAGTGTCCTTCCCGGCCTGGAGGACTTGGCACTGCCCCAAGCATGGCGGCATTTGCGAAATCAGCTCTGCTGCCTGTCCATCCTCAGAGCAGAAGCCACGGGGCTGGTTTCTGAGGGGGACGCCGTGTTCTGTCCTGAGAAAGAGGGTGTCGGAAGGGGTGGGGGAGGCAGCTGGAGTGTGGAGGGGGTGCCAGGGCTGGAGAGGCCAATCAGGGCCGGGACTTGCTTGGCCAGAGAGCTGGGGAGGAGCTGGGGCCGCCAGGCAGGGGCTGGGCCGCCATCGGCTCTTAACCTGGGGTGCCCCACACCCAAGGGGTCCATGGAGAGCATTCGCGAACGTCCATGGGAGAAATCACATCTTGACTGTTACAAGCCTCTAATAGCATCATGCATTTCCTTTCGCCGTGAATACAGGCAAAGATGGGCGGCGGTGGTAGCAGTTGCCACACGAGGCCGTTGGGAGAAGGCACACACACACTTGTGTGTCGCAGCCTCATTGCCGGGGGCCTCACAGGAGCACCTGGGCGGATGGTGTCCTCAGCTGCTGTTTTCCTGCGGAGGGCCTCATTTCTCTAAGCAGAGACCTTATAGCCGCTGCTTTCATATCCATATTTCAGTAAAATTGGTTTACTTTGTAATCCTATTACTTTACATTACACAGGGGTGTCGAACTCAATCAGAGAAGGGGCCAAAATCTAAAATCCAGCCTAAATCGCGGGCCGAATGGTTTACTGAACAGTCATAAACTGTCATTGTGATGGAAACGCAGCGGAGTGCAGTGATGACAGCGCGGTGCGGGCCACATTGCAAGGCCTGGCGGGACGGATTTGGCCCGCGGGCCTTGTGTTTGACACATGTGCTTTACATGCTTTCAAAACATTATTCTGAGGGCTTGGTTGGGCTAGAAGGGGGCTTATGGTGCCTGGGGGCCCTGCTTTCTTCCAGCCATAGGGAAGGAAACATCTGGGGGTCCTAAGGCTGCTTCTCCCCCCCGCCCCCACTACCCCCAATCTGATCCAGGAGCCCAGGTCTAGCCCGGACAGGCTGCCTGCCTGCAGTGCCCAGTGTGAACAGCAGGTGGCAGCCCTGCCTGGCCATGCTTCCTGCAGTCTCTTTCCAGAGGTAGCAGGTGGGTGCTACAGGGGGACAGCGAGGACAGGGATGGCAAGCATGTCGGGAGCATTTCGGTCATGGGGAGTCATGTGACGAGTCTGTATTTTGGAGACTGTGGTCAGCAAACGGAAATGTGGGCTTTGTTTTTCTTTTCATTTTCTTCTTCTAAACGCCCCAATGTGTTTCCAGGACTGGGCACCAGGGGGCGACATAAACTCTCCTGAGAGGAAACGGGCCGCAGAGCAAAGACTGGAAGGCCAGACCTCTCCTTCCAGAATCAGTGGCGCCCCCTTGGGCTGTAGTTTCTGACCAGTCACTACAGTGACCCTGAGGGGTCACTCCCAGGTCCCCAAGGAGCATGTGACTGGGCCCCAGGCCTCTCCTAGCCTGACCCCGGAGGCGGCTGGTGCGGGATGGGGCTGTGGCAGGCGCTGCATCTTCTCTCAAACAGGAACCGCAGCCTCTGGCCCCCAACAGAGGTCAGATCAGCTCCCTCTCCTGCTCACCACCCTCAGGGCCTCCGCATGACCCTTCGCACCTCGGCCAAACTCTCCCTTTGGCATCCGAGGCTCCCCCACGTGCACCCCTGCCATCTGTGCATAGTATTTACCCTGGACCCGGACCCTCAGGGCGCACCCTTCCTCCCTCCCTCCCTCCCTCCCTTCCTTCCTTTCTCCCTTCCTTCCCTCCTTCCTTCCTTTCTTCCTTCTTTCCTTCCTTCCTCCCTCCCTCCCTCCCTCCCTCCCTCCCTCCCTCCCTCCCTCCTTTCCTTCCTTCCTTCCTTCCTTCCTTCCTTTCTTCCTTCTTTCCTTCCTTTCTTCCTTCTTTCCTCCCTCCCTCCATCCCTCCCTCCTTTCCTTCCTTCCTCCCTCCCTCCCTCCCTCCCTTCCTTCCTTCCTTCCTTCCTCCCTCCCTCCCTCCCTCCTTTCCTTCCTTCCTTCCTTCCTTCCTTCCTTCCTTCCTTCCTAACTCCCTCCCTCCCTCCCTCCCTCCCTCCTTTCCTTCCTTCCTTCCTTCCTTCCTTCCTTCCTTCCTTCCTCCCTCCCTCCCTCCCTCCCTCCCTTCCTTCCTTCCTTCCTCCCTCACTCCCTCCTTTCCTTCCTTCCTTCCTTTCTCCCTTCCTTCCTTCCTTCCTTCCTTCCTTCCTTCCTTCCTTCCTTCCTTCCTTCCTTCCTTCCTTCCCTCAGCAAACGTCACGGTGCCACGTGCTGGGAGGTGCAGCCACGAACAAAGCCAGGCCCGGCCTCTTGGGCTTCCCACCCTGTGGACGACCAACCAACACGGAACCAAGAGCCACAGACATGCCACCACCCGCCAGGGGCCGCCCGTGCCGCTCTGGCGCCTCTCCTTCGCGCTCTGCCCCGGAAACTCGGCCTGGTGCCGAGAGGCTGGGAGTCCCGGCTCGGACCCGGCCCGCCATGAGCGTTCTGGAGGCAAGTGTGGCTTTTCTGGCAGAAAACGAGGCTCCCCCAGGCTCGGGCTTGCCATGGAGATGCTCTCGGATTCCGAGCTCCAGGGGCCGAAAACAGCAGCCAGTACCCCGCAGGTGCCTGATGAGGCCGCCCACCAGCTCCTCCGAGGCCATGTCCCTTCCCACAGGTGGGGAAAGGTCGGTGCATGGCCCACGGGCTCTCATATTCCACTGTGGACCCCGTGGGCGTCCGGGCTGTTTGCAGATTCATCCCCTCGGCGGGACGGGTGCCTGAGCCCCTGGTCTGCTGGGAATCGCTCCTTGGCGAGCCGCCTCGCTCAGCGGCCTCTCCTGCCCGCGCCCCAGGCCGCAGGGCGGAGGGAGGAGGCGCCCAGGATTGCACCACCCGCTGCGGCTCCCACCTGGCACTGCGGCTCCCGCTGCAGCTCCTCGGCCTTCAGAGGGGCCCCCTGTCCTGGGCCTGACCCGGCAGAAGCTGAGCTGCAGAGGCTGCTCTGACCACCAGGGGGCAGTTAGGCCCCAAGGATGGCGAGCCGACGGGCCTGAAAGCAGGGCTGAGAGCAGCTCTAGCCCTGTCTCCCCCTCTCTTCCCTCCCTGCCTGAGACCCGAACAGCCGAACCCAGCCCCGAGAACCTAGGAAGCCCTGACCGGTGCAGCCTGGCCCCGAGTGAATAGCCCAGCCAGGAATTCAGAGCCGAATCCAGACCCAAAGGGCGCACACTAGTTCCGAAGAGCCGAGACCTAAGACCCCGCCTCGCCCCGGAGAGCCAAGCCCTCCCCTTGTGAGTCCTCCCCACAGCCCTCCCTCCGGGAGAGTCAGGCAGGGCCGCTGGCTCAGAGCCTTCACGCCGGGGGACCGGGACAAGTCTCACGTCCCTGGTGGTGACCGAGGAACCACGGAGACAGAAGAGCCGGGGGTGGGAGCCCGCTGGGCCCCGTGCAGCCACTGACCTCTCTGAGCCTCGGTTTCCCGGGATGAGGCCTTGGAAGTGGCTGGGAGTTAGGTGTGGGGGTGTGTCCCCAGGGACCCTGGCCCCACCTTGGGGTTCCTGGAGGGCAGGGGCCAGGTCTGAGGTCTTGTTCCCCGGATGTGCAGTGACCACACCCCAAATGCAGGCAGCCATGCCCATGGGGGTCCGGGGGTGAGGGTGGATGG